AATGTGTGTGTGTTTGTGTGTGTGGTGTGTGTGTTTGTGTGTGTGTGGTGTGTGTTTGTGTGTGTGTGTGTGTGGTGTGTGTGTAAGTCAGGTGAAATGTATATATGTTTATGTACTTTTGTAATATGTGTTTGAATATATGTATGTGTTTTAAATGCACAAACAAGTAGACGAATGATTGATTGAGATCATGTTCATCATCTCAGTCCCATAACAACAAGAATAAAAATAATAATATAACCAGTTATAAAATTATTTGGTTATTTCTGTTATCTTTATTTTTATTAGCTTTGTTATTTCAATCCTCATCATCATTTTCTTCATCATCATTGAATAAAGTATGGAAAATCGTTTAATTTTCATTTGCTCTCAGCAAAAACATATTAGTTATGATTAAATTAGTATAATTTGATTAAGTTTTGAATTGCCATAACTACTGTTTCATGTACGTTGTGTTAAGCAATTTCGTGTGTTAATAAGTCATCTGAAATGATATTATAGCTATGAAAAACATTGTTTTTGTATTATTATTAATATTTTATTTAATATCATTATATTTATTGAATAAATCATTGAATATGAAATTTGTAATATATCGTTTAACAGCAAAGATTATATTTTAAAAAAATTTAAATATGCCTAAAAATTCCATAGAAATCATTTCTTAGCCTAGAAACGTTACATCAGACTAATCAACAACCAATTTTTTAAATAACCTTTTCGCGATTAAATTACTTTTTTCTTTTCTTTTTTACTTTACTAACTATAAAAAGAAATATTTTTGCAATAATCAGTTAATTAATTAATTAAATAAAGAAATTAAAAATGGACGTAATGGACATGGTGAACAAGTCAGACAACACCTCTGCTGTAATCGTGAAGACAAAGATCCTGGGGCTGAAGGAGGAGTTAGACAAGTGCAAGGAGATGTGCCAGTCATCTAAGGAAGAACTCAATAAGGAGAGGTCCAAGAAGTCCCAGGTGGGTTTGGTTGTCTAGTAGTCACCACTGCTTGCACTACCTAGAAATTCAAATTTAATTTTACGAATAATTATCTCACTATTATATTTAAGAATATTTTATTATATTTTTATGTTAAACTTTAATGTTTTTGTGATTAAAGTGCATATTACTTTGTTTGATAATCAAATCAAATCAAACTTTGATTTGAGCATTTACTAGAATTAATTTATTTTACCAGTTCTAATTTTTCATTCATCGCAGACTGAAATAGAGGTGCTAGCCTTGAGAGAAAAGGTCAAAAGTATGGAAGACCAGTGCACTGAGATAAATAACAAGGTTCAGGAGGCCACAGATAAACTGATGGGTGTCACTAAGTTTGCAGATGAATGTGAAAGTTAAGTTGGTTCTTATTTTTTCACTGTTCTAATTACTTTTTAAGGTTATTACAAGTGTAGCACTACATTAAAATGTTCATTACAAAGTGGTGTATCATTAAAATCTTAAAAGTAAAAAAGCTAAGGTTAATGCACTCAAGAATACATAATAGACCTATTTTCTTGAAAGATTTTTGCACGTCAAGTTAATTGGATATTAATTAATTAATTAATTAAAACAGAAGTCGCAGGGCTCTAGACCATCGAAAAAATATGGATCTGGATAGAATGGCCACCCTTGAAGAGATGTACAAAGAAACTAAAATGTTGCTTGTTGAATCTGAGAGGAAATATGAAGAGGTACTCAGAATTTTTTCTGCTTGTGTTTTTTTTTACAAACATCAAACTTTTTTGGTGTTGATTAATTTGTCTGCTGTTTGCTTTGCATGTAGATAGGCAAATATTCACACATAAAAACAGATATTTGCTAAATCTGAAACTAATTAATTAATGATTAATAACTATAATGATTAATAATTAATAAACTAACTAATTATCCTTTACTTTACATAAAAATTTTTGCTATTGTCATCGTGTAGGTCTCCAAAAAGTTACTGATAGTCAAGGCTGATAGTGACAGAGCTGAAGCACGCATACAGAGGGCTGAAATGTTAGTTATAATAAAAATTTCTGTTAATTATAATAATTAGGGTAATAATTATTAAAACAATGATGATGATGATGATAATAATGATTGTGATGACAGTGATGATAAACCATGACGATGAAGATGATTAAAATGATAATTTAAATCTTTTTTGTAGAACTACCAAAAACATAAAAGATGAAACGAAAGGACTGACAGCTAAACTGAAAAGCTACCAACTGCAACTTGAAGAGGTTTTTGTTCTTTCATTTTTCTCTATCTTTCTTTCTCTCATATTTTCACTCTTTTACTTTCCCTCCTTCTCTCAATCATTTTTTTCTTTAATTATTGATGAAATTCACAGCATGTTCCGCGTTAGTTAGCTTCCTCTGAACACTTGTATATATATAATAAATATTTTTTATTCATTCATTTTATTGGTATTTAATTTTAATAATCAATTTTTATTTCATTTATATAATTAATTAACTAATTAATTAAATTATCATCTGTAGTACAGTGATAGAGAAGAGAGATATGAACAAAGCATTGAACATCTGAATGCACAGATTAAAAATGTTAAAAAAATTTTTTCATTTAAATTTTATATCATTTTATTCCCATTTTGGCAATAATTGTTTTCGTTTTTATTATTATTACAAATAATATTATCATCATAATTATTATCATAATTTCTATATTACTAGGCCAGTATGCATAATGAAAAGGTCGCAGATCAAATTCACAAGCTACAAACTGACATCAAATATCTCCACAGTACGTCAGTCTGGTATTTTTCAAAATATCATTTAAAATATATTATTATTCGTATTATTATTATAAATAATTATTATATAATATAAATGTGATTGTATTAATTTCAATTATTATTTCATATTATTATTATTAAATAATTTTATTGAATTTAACTAAAATATTGCTATTTTTTCACTTTGATTATATAGATGAAATCAAGCAAGCAACAAAGGCCTACAAGATATAATGGTTTGTTATAGTACTAGGAGACCATCAGCAAAGTTTCATTGTCTTTTTTTATCATTGCTGGAGTCATCATCATCTTAGCCATCACCATCATCATCATCTTAGTCACTAGCATCATCCTCATCATCTGAGTCACTATCGTCATTTTTATCATCCTCATCATCTTAGTCACCACTATCATAATTTTTATAATCATCTTCTAGTCACCTAGTCACCAACATTATTATCATTGTCTCAGTCACCATCATCTTCATCATCATCATCTTCTTGCAATCATCATCTTGTTCATCTTCATTGATATATTTACATTATCGTTTCTTTCATTATCATCATATTTATCGTTGTAGTCTTCATCACCGTTGTAGTCATTTCATCAACAACACCGTCATCATCATAGTCATCGTGTCGTATCAATGATCTACAACTTTGAAAAAAATTTTAAATAATTTTTTTTAAATATTTTTCGGTCGTTGCATAATTTTTTGTCTGCTCTTTTGTATGTTATAAAAAATCTTATAGACGAAAAAAAAAATTAAGCCAACTTATGTAACGTTCTTTTTTAAATATTTCTAATCACAATCGTTATTATTTTTGAAAGACTAGTTAGGTTTTTAATCATCACTGAATCAAAAAAAAGGATCATTCATCCATCAGTCCATTCATTTTTTATTCATCCAATTGTTCATTCATTCGTTTTTTTACTGAATCATTCAATTATTTATATATAACTGAGTTAATTAATTGGTGTTGTCATTAAAAGTGCTTATTTAATAAGGTCAGTAATTGTTAATTAACTTTTTAGTCATTTTTTTTTATTTATTTTTCAATTAATTTTGCTGTTTTTCTCTCAAGTTTGATTTCATTATTGCTGTTGACAATAATTTTTTTATAGATTTTTTTAATATTTTTTAATAATTCATGTTGCAGAAAAAGAAACATTTACTATTTCTTATGCGTTTTTGAGTCGTTGTATATTACAAATTCTCTATACTACTGTAGAGTTTGTGTGTGTTACAAAGATTACTAACATTTTTTTTTGTTTTTCTGCTGTTTTGTTATTTATTTTGTTGGTATTTTCAAGTTATTTTGTTTCATTTTGTTGAAGAGATTCATTTTTTTATTTATATTCTTTTTGTTTGTTTCAATTAATCTGTTGATTTGTAACTATTTTTAAGTTGAGTGTGTGTTTGTGTGTAAAAAAATCTTAAAAATTTATCCAAGTATGTAGAAGCATTTGTGCAAGTTTTGGTATCATTTAATAGAACTATAAAATGTTTTTATTAAATATTTTTTATTATCCTTGGTTTTTCGTATTTTTTTAAATCAAACGTTTTCACGTTCATGATTTGGTTATATTTAAATACGTAATTATTATGTAAATGTTACATTTACTATTGTAAATATTATCTATTCATTACATTTACTTACGTAAGTAAGTAAAGTACATAAGTAAAGTAGTTCACTATTCAGATAGATCTTCATTGGATGAGTACCTATGTTCACAAATACGTTCACACGCAAGTTCACACACACGTTCACGCATACGTTCACACAGAGACAAACATACCACTCATGTTTGATTTTATATGATTTGTATCTTTAGATGTTATTTGTGTAACTTTGTCTGCTTCCTAATTTTTTAATTCAACTTTTTTCATCAATTTGTACCTACGGCTTTAAACGTCTGCTTATCTTATCGTGAATAAATGTGTTTTTTCTTTTTAGAAAATTTTCATTTACGTTTCAAGTAGTCAATTGATCACTTAATCAATTAATTGTCGAAGATTTTGTTAAATTAATGTTTAATTTTTGAAAAGTTCATTCAAAATTCAAGTAATTTTTTCATGTTTGTTCTAGTTTGTATTCAATTCATGATAAATATTAAATGTAATGAGCTAAAGTCAAACATTATTTTCTGTTTTAAATTTAAAAAATTTTTCATGAAATTTTAAATTTGTAATGTTAGGTGAAGCCCCGTTGTTCACATTTTAAAAACATCAAATGGAAATGTAATAATAATTGTATTATTGTAGATGCTTCTTACATCACATGTAATCTGCATTTCTAGATATACATTTTTTTATCTTTATAAGATATATTAATAACACTAACAACGTGAATGTAGCATGTGAGGTCAATGTTTAAAAGAAATATTTTTCTCCGTGGATTTTAATTTGACGAAAATTGACATTAAACATTTTGTATTTAAATTTTCTCCAAAAATAAGAGTATAAACAGATTCTGTAATTAATTAAAGGAAATAAATTCAAATAATAAAAATGATATTAAAAAATCTGAGTGGAACAATAAACCTCTCTAAAATCATCTTCACTATCGTCAGCTTCACTAAGGTTTCAGTCATTTTCATCACAATTTCTCTTTAATCACACTTGCCATCTGGCCAGCCATCCTTCCATCTTTTTAAAACATTTCTGCAGTCGAATTGTGGTTTCCCTAATTTCAGGTTCACCCTGTTATGGAGGTTACAGAACCATTGAGAGAGTGTTAGATTCGATGTCACTTCTGGCTCGTGCTTCTTTAAACTGCAATTATAAATTAATAAATACTTGTTAAATATGTCTGATTTTAATATTAAAAAAGTAAAATATAAAATAACTAAAAAGGTAATTAATGATTAAAATAGAAATTGTTACTCTTCTCTCAAGTCTTCAGCACAGTGTTCACATGGATAAAATTTAGAGAATAAGTGTATGAAAGATTTCATGTCGGCCTGTTGAGATGTTGTTGGCTTTTCAGGGTAGTAGGCGGCCATTGTGTGTAAGAATGACCATGTATTAATGCCCAGTTCTGATTTGTCTGGTGGGCAGTCATCTGCTGATGTTCCAAACTGTGTTGTAGTTGAGGCTATGTTGTTGGCTGTTGATGAGTTGCTTGAGTTGACACTGGTGTTATTCTTGTGGATTTAAAAAATATTAAGCTTAATAACTTATTTTATTATTAACAATGTTTTTAAGTCTAATATTGTAAACAATGAATCTTCAATAATAAATAATATGCAAAAAATTTAAATTAAATATTAAATAAGTTGACAAAATGGCAAAATGAACAATTCAGACATAAACATATTATATAATTATTAATAAATCAAAGTGTAACAAAAACATTTTTATAAAAAAGTTAAAAAGAAAAAAGAAAAAAACTAAAAAACAAACCAAACTGTGTTTGTAGTGGTAGTCATTACTGTTAGTGTTAGTAGTGTTAGAATTAAGTGGGGAGGCCTTTTCAGATCTTCCCATTTGTTTCCTCATCCATGATTTGAAATCTGAGCAGGCTCTGCATGTTTTCAAACCCGGGGTTTCCTCGTTTATCACGTCTCGATGTTTGTCTGTCATCATATCATGTCATTTTTGAAAACTAAAGATATGAGAATAAGTTCACTTTTCAACTTTCACTTTTAGTTTTTTAGAAAATTTAAAAATATACAAAATCAGGGTAAAATGTTTGCATTAAAAAATTACAACTTTTTTTATTAAAAATTAAAATTTGATCAAAACACTTTTAGTTTGAAAAAGTGTAATAGATCTTTTAAATGTTTCTTGATTAATTATTTAAAAACTTGCCATCTCTTTATTAACTTTTTATTTTTTGTAATTAAAAGTTAATTTCTGTTTCGAATGACCGCACTTAATTTTTGCAAAAAACAGGCCGGACATGTGCTCAAGAAATTTGCTAAAAAGCGCAATCAATATTTCCAAAAAGTCGTCTGCTCTTTTTAATTTTTCAAAATCTCAATTCAGTAAAAATAACTTTTGCTTTCCGCATATTAAAACCTTAAGTTCGTCCGGCGCACATCTTCGTCTGTCATCATGTTTTTTGAATGGGCATCGTTACTACCATCATAATCATCATGGCCCAAATTTAAGTTACTCAAATTCTTTTAGCACTTATTTTCAAACTAATTTTCCAAAAAATAGTCGTCAATATTCAGTTACTCCTAAAATAGGCAGTTTGACTGATGAAATTCTCAAGTCAAAGTTAACTCCGCCATCTTCTTCGCACCCACCCACCCCAACTGATCAAAAATCGTCGTCAGGTGACAGTGGCAAAGGTAAAGACAAGTGGTATAGCGGGAAAAACGCGTGGAAAGTTGGTCTCGGTTGTTTGGCAGTCGGTGGCTTTTTCTCATGCACAAGCATCATCCTAACATTTGGTTAATAACAAATATTCATATCCTGTTTTACTGCTCTTGCCTACTCATTTGTTTCATTGAAGTTTAAAAATGGATTGAATAATTGATTTTTTTAAATTAAATATACAAACATACATATATATATATATTTATAATACAAATATGTTACATGTATATTTTTGCATATATGTGCAGTACACATTTAATAATACATATCAATTTACACATATATACAGAGCCACTAAATAAATAATTTTTTTTATTTATTTTTTCTCATAAAAAGTATATATACAAATGAAATGAAACTTTCTTCTTTTCATTCTATTTATAATTTTTAAAAGGTCAACCACAGAAAGATCCTCAGGGCAATGATGTAAGCAACCATTCTTACAGATTTTATCACATTTTATTTCATATTTATTTTATCACATATTCGTTTTTTATTATTTTTTAAAAATAATATTACTATATTTAATCGTTAATTATATTATCCGTTTATAGTTGAACAATTTATAAATAAATATTTATTTAAATACCTTTAAATACTGATTTTTTTTACTGTTGTCAACAGATTGTAGATGAGTTCACTAATTGTAAGTTTTTCTATAAATAATCTCCATTTTATAATGATGTTAGTTTATTATCATTTTTGTCATTTCTACCGACATCATCTGCGTTACTCACCATCGTTATCTTCATATAATCATCTACATTACCCATCATCATCTGATCTCATTCGTATCAATCATTTTTATCATCTTCACTATCATCATCAACTCATCATCATCACCACGTCATCATCATCATCATCTGGTATCACTCACTCATTCCAGTACCAACGTGGTTGGCCTTTCCGAAGCGGGCTCTTAAGGAGATGTACATTTTTAAGAAAGTATGATGGCGATGATGATGATGACGTAGTTGCAGTTGTCGTTGCTGATGATGATGATGGTCTCTAATGGAAATGATGATGATAATGATACAATAATGATGATGAGAACAGGGACTTTGATAACAACTGTCACGATGATAGATACATAAAAGAACAACATGCAAGATAGACATGTATAATGATGATAGTACACACACACATGCATACACAAACACTCACTCACACATACACACATGCACACAACCACAGATGATACAGGACCCATCAAGTGAGAAACTTTTGCCAGATCCACTGAAAGAGCCCTGGTATCAACCACCCTACACACTGGTCATCGAAATGACGGGGGTACTGGTACACCCTGATTGGACGGTCCGTTTGATGATGATGTTGATGAAGATGAGTTGGATGATAACGAGATGATGAGGATGATGGAATATGTGATAAGATGATGATCTTGTAAAAGTTGTAATTTCGAGGATAATAATGACAGTAGCAGATAAAGTATTAAAAACAGTTTCAACATTATGCCAATGTGCTAAGTAAACGTTTATAACAATTGATAATAAACTATATTACGATGACTGAACGAACGACCAAAAATTTAGTTATCAACGGGCTGGAGGTTTAAGAAGAGGCCAGGTCTGAAGTACTTCCTACAGCAAGTTGGACCACCCCTCTTTGAAGTGGTCATCTACACCCACGAACAAGGATTTGTACGTCCTTTCGACATCTTTTAAATTCAAAATTTTTCTCAAATGTTTAATTTCTTAATTTCATTTTCTCAGTAATTTAATGAAAATTTAATTATAGTAAATATTTGATCTTTTTCATTGTACAAAATTCATTGATCCGTAATGTGCTGACCAATGAAATGTCTGTAAGAATTTTTAACCACGCCCACAATTCAGACTGCCTACCCAATAATCGACAGCATGGATCCAGAGGGCAGAATCATGTTCAGACTGTTCAGAGATGCCACCAAATATGTTAACGGAACGCATGCCAAAGTTGTCTATTTATAACTTTACATACACATGTGTTATTTTGTATTTATATGTACACACAAAATTTTTATTTACATTTTTTGCGTAGACATACATCTATCTATGCAAAAACATGTACATGCGCATGAACACAAGTAAATATACAAGCAAGTACACATACACATATATAAATGTTCACAAACACAAATACACGGCTAAAGAATACAGATATTCACGGAAAAACACGCGCGCGCGCGCGCGCACCCAACATTCAGGACTTATCCTTCTTGAATCGGGATCTATCAAAAGTCATAATTGTGGATTGCGATCCGAAAGCAATGTCCCTACAACCAAGGAATGGATTCCTACTTCAAAAATGGGAGGGGGACGATTCAGATAGGAAACTTGTCGATCTGGCTAACTTCCTAAAGAGTTAGGGATAGATAAAATATTTTAAAATATTTTTTAAGTTTTATTCAGTTCCATTCATTTATCTTTGTGTACCTGGGAAGAACGTGTTCTTGTTATTATTATTTCAAATTTCTCAATACTTAAATTTCACTCTTCACGTTCGTAATTCTTTTGTTGTTACAACAGTCTATTTGAGAATTTTAATTAGTTAAAAACCAGCCGAAACCAAACGAGTAATGTTATTAATATCAGCAATAAAAACCAGCGAAGCCAAACTGGTAGAATTGTTAATGTTGCAGCTGTAGCGCTGAGTAATGTCGAGGACGTGCGGCCTGTCATGGAGTACTACGCCCAGTTCGACGACCCAATCGCCGTCTTCAAGGAGAAGCAGAAACAACTGCAGGTCAGAAATCTCCCAATCCATCCAGCTTCTCAAAAAATAATACATCGCTTGTTAACCATGCAATTATAACTTAATTAGGATCATAATGTTACACGTTAGCCATGTAATTATAACTTAATTAGGATCATAATGTTACACGTTAGCCATGTAATTATAACTTAATTATGATCATAATGTTACACGTTAGCCATGTAATTACAATTCAATTATGATCATAATGTTACAAGTTAGCCATGATTTAATTATGATCATAATATAATTATATTACAAGTTAATTACGTAATTATGATTTAAATAAGATCATAATGTAATTATACTACAATTAAAATAATTTTTCTGAGCAGGATATGGAGGAAGAAAAGGCGAAATTGGATGCGTCAAAGAAGCAGAAATCATCCTTACTGTCCAGTGTTACACGAAGATTAAAATGATATGATGATGATGATAATTATGATATGATGATGGTAATTATGATGACAATAATGATGATGAAAGCCAATTATTATTACCGTTGTTACAGCTTTCAATTATTTTATCGATAGTAACGATGTACGTTAGTATTTTCAATGAAGAAATTTTATGAAAAGAAGATTCCATTTTGGGACAGTTCAACAAAAAATAATTTAATAAAAAACTAAAAATGAATCTTCCGAAATAAAGCCGTCGCATGTATAAAACTAAATAAAATGTATGCAAAGATTAAATAAAGAAATGAGAGTTGCACATGTCGAACTATCAATACAAAGTCTATGTACATCTCTTAAAACGTCCATATCACCTTCAATATCAATCACAATCATTCAAATATATTTAAACATTTGATTATTCGAAACGTCCGTTGTTACTCTTTTGTTCTCTCGCATACATCCGGATCGATGAGACTCAAAACCCCGCCCACCAGATGCAAACTGCCCGCGCACAGAACCCTCACAACCACCTCATCGTTTTCAGATGTTCTGTCATCGTCATTGGGAAGGTCTGTACAAACAAAACCATTTTTTCGCGGGAAATTATTGTCTGTGGTGCAGCCTTTCGTCGTGGCTAAGTCGCCGCTTGAGTCGCAACCGTTATGTCCAAAGATCCTTGAAGATGGCAAATTTTCGGCGAAAATTTCTTGAGATTGTGTAGAAGAAATGGCGGTTTCGGCAAATCGTTCGATCCAGTTTAAGCTTTCTTGTATGGATGGAAAAAACTGCACCCTTAACGTCACATCTCCATCCGTGACGTCATTCCTGGCGGTGATGTCACAGCTGCTGTTAATATCGCCGTTAACTTTGAAAAATCGGTCGAGGTTGTTGTTTAGATTCAAATCAGGTGGTTCGTGCTCTGCCTTGGAAGTTTGAAGGACGTTAGATTTTCTGCAGTTTGATTGGTTGTCGTTTAGAGCTAGCCACGCTTCCATGTTGATGAGACACCTCTTAAACTGGGCGGATCTTGTGACGTTTTTGTTCGTTAGGTCTGTTGTGATTGGATGATAGGAGTGAGGACTGTTATCTAATTGGTAGGTTGGTTGTTTGGATGATTGAATGAACTATTGAACAAGTTTCATTGCTATGTGGTTGATCATTGGTACTAAAATCAAGGGCTGATTGATTGAAGGTAATCGCAAGTTAACAAGCTGAAAATAATAAAGAAATAATAATACAGTCTTGTTATTTTTGTTACTGAAGATAATTATTTATTCATCGTTATAATTAAGATCGTTGGTAAAAAAATATTCATGCTGTTAGATCATATTTCATTCATTCATTCACTCATTCATTCATTCAATATATAGATCTCCCACTTATTTGTATTTATTTTAACACGGCGTTCATTCACTCATCTTTTTATTCATTTAAAATAACTCAACTATACTCAATAGTACTATTCATTTATTTCACATGTCTCTCACTCATTCATTCATTCATCCATTCATTCATTCATTCTTTCATTCATTCACTCATTCAATGACACCTTTAATCATCAGAACATCTTCTCAATTTGTTCATTCATTCATAATTCATTCATTCATTTACTTGATCTATCCTTCCGTCATTCACTCACAAAATTATTTATTCTGTTATGTTACTAACATGCTTAATTGCATAGATAGATGAATGGAAGAACTAACAATTGATCGTATCAAGAAATTAACGATTATTAAGCAAACAAACAGTTTTTTATAGTTTTAATAGATAGAGAGAAAGATAGATAGATAAATAGAAAGACAGACAGATAGATAGATAGATAAATAGAAAGACAGACAGATAGATAGATAGATAGACAGATAGACAGACAGACAGATAGATATATAAACAGACAGACACAAAAATATAAAAACAGACAGAACAAACAGACTGAACGTGTTTCTTACTCAAAAGCATCAATGAACCATATTTCCCTGCCGCATAATTTGAATATATTTTACGACAAGTAAAAATTAAGAATTTAAATAATTATATTTACCTATGTTATATCATACTCATCCAAGATATTATTAAATGAAAATATAAAAAAGACGAGTGGCGGAAAAATTCTGGTACAGCTGTAACTGTAACGTGTATGCATTCATGTTATGTCTATAATGCTTATAAGAGGTATTTTATGTATGGCTGATTAGCACTTTTCTCTCTTTACTGGTTCATTAATATCTATAAATTAGTTGCAAACATATCACCTGGAAATGTGCATAACATTAACGAATAATATAAAGAATAATAATGAAGAATAATAATAGCTGATAACAAGTAATGACAAACAATAAATAATAATTGAAGAGTTGAAACCTGATTTGAGGGAAGCGCTTTTGTCACTGCTGGTCGGTGGTCTCTGAATGTTTGGGCAGAATACGGCGTAGTCGAATCTACATTTCTGTGTAAGCGAGTGTTTCATCATTATGATCATAATCATCTATCATCATTATCATGAAAACATCTTCATAAGCATCGTTGTCATTTTGTATATATATATATATGTATGTATATATGCACTATATATTCATTGTATTGTACAATTTACATGCTTTATATTAGCTTATGTATCTATAAACACATGCTATACATAAGCCTAAATATGCTTTATACATGTAAGATAAGAAGCCAGCCAACCGACCAGCAATCCTTTCAGTAGATTACATGGCTGCCTGTCACCAGTTGAGTTGAACAAGAGTATGCGAACTGAGCGTTTGTGGCGTTTGTCCCTCATTCCTTTACTGGCCGTCCGTCGGATGGATGGATGGATAGATGGATGGTTGGATGGATGGGTGGATGGATGGATGAATGAGTGAATGGATGGGTAGGTAGATGAATGAATGAATGAATGAATGAATGAATGAATGAATGAATGAATGGATGAATGAATGAATGAGTGGATAAATCAATGGAAGGACGAATAGTTTGATGAACGAATAATTTGTAAGATGAATAACGTAGAAAAGTTGTGGACGAATAGATAGACAGATGAATCTCTGGAAGAATGAATGATAAAATGGATGAATGGAAAAACGAATGGATACAAATTTAAATAGATGAATGGATAGATTTATGGGAGGAGGAATGAAAGATTGATGAAAACAAAAACCTTTTTGATCCTTGGTCCATTTCTTCCAGAAACCATTTGGTGCATACCTAATTGGGAACAATGATCATCATTATCACAATCATTATCATAATCAACATCATCATCATTATCACTATCATCATTATCACCATCAACATCATCATCTTTATCACCATTATCATCATTAGTACAATCTTTCCGTCTATTTATAAATTTTTCAAAAAAATTATTAGTTTTTAAATCAAATATCATCAACTTATCAGATACTTATCATTCAATCTATCACTTATCATCAATTCATTTATCCAATTAACAATCCATCCGTCAGTTTATCCATCCATCAGTCTATCCATTTATCTATCCATCCATCCAGGAATACCCACATCAATGCTTTCCTCCGTGTGAGCACCATCCAGGTAGTACATCACTGGACCCCTCTCTACCTTCTGGCATCTCCCCGGCCAGTTGCAGTTAGTCAGACCTTCAAACAGGCGAGTGATATATGAATCAGGATGGTTAGTGATTAGGTGTTTATCTTTAATATTGAAATGGCGCTTATCAAAATAATTATTTATTTATTTAATTTGTGAATGAATGAACAAACGAACGAATACACGAATGAATGAAATGGATGAATGGATGAATGAATGAATGAATGAATGAATAAATGAATGAATGAATAAATTAATTAATTCGAATATTTTGTTACCTTTAATGAATAAGCATGATAAAAGATTCTTTTTAGAAGCGTCGTATTGTTGTTGATGTTGCAATTGTTGATTACTATATAATTGATGTTCATGTAGAACCTGGTGATGTTGTTGTTGTTGTAGATGTTGTTGATGTTGAGTGACACTACTGTATATTTGCTGCTGCTGTTGTTGTTGCAGCTGTTTAATGTAAATCTTTTCATATTTGTTCCTCCTTTCCTCTTCAGCTGTTTGAATAATAAAATTGTCAACAGTTGTCATTACCATCAAACATTCATCACCATCACCACCAAACATTCATCACCATCCCCATTAAACAGCCATCAAAATTGAGGTTGCATTGAATCTTAGCTCTCGCTACCCGACAATTATTTCTAACTATTATTTCTCAAAGCAGTAAACATTGAAATATTTTCTGGAAGCAGTACCATCCTCACTAATCACTCGACTAGCTACGTTTTATTTCAAAAGAAACTGAGGAGATGAAAACGTCGAAAGAAAAATCTATGATTAAGAATATGCGCCAAGCCTAAGATCTGTTATTGGAAAGACCTATCCAAAGAAGCAGCTGGTATCAATAGTGCAGATTTGGCGGCTGTGAATGTTGTCTATGCGCTCTGTCGTGCCTAATATTAATAAAAGTAAAAATAAAAAGTTTCTCCTAAATGTACCGTCTGAAGATTTGCAAGGTAATTCTACGTGCGCTGAATATACACGGCATGTTTCCAAGCAGTAGAAGAAGTAAAACAAACCAAAAATCAAAATAGGCAACTTATTTAGAAGTTTCGTGAACAGATCAGCAACTACATCAATTTAAGACATACAACACCAACATCAGCGGTAGCAACAACAACAACAACAACAACAACAACAACTAACACAAACTCTCATCCTCCATCCACATCTCACATATCTTGACGGCCAACGAAGCATTGTAAGCTTGCATGAAGCCAGGAATACCCAGTTGAACGTGAGTCATGCGCTCATCTGGCACGCATTGGATGAGTGGAGCCTGAAAAATAGCCCATCACCATTACTTAGATCACAGATCAATAGCAGCGTAGATGGTATCTTTAATAAATTCAAAAATAACAATAAAAACAAGACATAAAAGACATATTATAAGAAAGACATCAAACTTTCATGAAAATTTTTGCCAGTCAAATGAAGTTATCACCTGAGAACTTATTATTTTTACCTAAAACAGTCTTAATGTGCGTGTGTTGGTGCGTGTGTGTGCGTGCGTGAGTGTGTGCGTGCGTGCGTGCGTGAGTGTATGCATGTATCAATACGCATTACGCTTCAAAGAACAGTATCAACGACAATAACGACAAATGCTGACACGAGTAACAAACAATAATACAACAACGCACAAAATAACAACATCGGTAAACAACAATAAATTATAATTGTTTAAATAAAAATCTAATAAAATTAAATCATAAATTCTGTGAAATTCCTACTTAGCTAACTAACCTTACGTTCAATTGATCGTTCCTGTAGGACTTTGAAGGCGTCCGCATTTTGGGGGACCGTTAGAGCAGGGATGTACTCCTTTGGATGAATTGATGAATGGTTGGTTAGATTATTGAATAAATGGATGGATAGATGAATGGATGAATGTTTGGTTAAATTAATGAATAAATGGATGGATGGACGGATGAATGATTGGATAAATAGATAGTTTGATGAATGAATGAATGAATGAATGAATGAATGAATGAATGAATGAATTAATTAATTAATTAATTAATAGATGGATGAATGGATGGATGGATGGATGGTTAGATGAATGGGCCATCATGATCATCGTAAATACATCGCCATTACTAAAAATTTCCGACATAGTAAATTAAAACCAGACCGACCTACCTTGAATATGCCAGCTTTATTCCATGCAATCTCCTCAATGGTACTACCCAGAACATTTGTGTGGTCCAATCCGAGGTTGGTTACTGCACATATTGACGGGTTTCTTGGCGAAATTCACATCATTATCTCTCATTAAATTAACTGATTAATTAATTAATTTTAAATCAATTGATTGCTTAAAAGTAACTATTTGATAACATGAAAGTTAATAATATGAATCATTCAAGTGGAAAATAAACAAGCAAGTGTTGTCAAAGCATCCAACATAAACTAATAATCAAAATCAATCAATCTATCAATCAATCTATCAAGCAATCAATCAATCAACCAATCAATCAACCAATCAATCAATCAATCAATCAACCAATCAATCAATCAGTCAGTCAACTAATTATTGGCTACTAACTTAATAATGTTAGTACAGTCATAGTGACCCCCAATTCCAACTTCAACAATTGCCACATCAACCTTTTAAAGATTAATTCAAAATAATTACACAATCATAACTATAATTTTTCATATTATTACACTTATATATAATATAATTAAAGACTTGTTAACATATTTTTGAATTTGATAAGTATTTTTAATACTTTTTCCTGCAGGAATGTATGGAAAGCCATGATCGTTAGGAATCTAAAATAGCCGGGCATAGCATCATTGCGATCAGCCTTTGACAGAGGACAAACAGAAAATAATAAATAAACAAATTAATAATAAAATTAAAATAAAAAAAATAAAATAAAATTAACTTATCGTAAAAAAAATACTGAAACAAATACCTTTGTAGAATTCAAGTTGTTATAGCAGTCCCAAAAATAATTACAAAACAAATCTTTAGCTAGAGGCCTTCCATTAATTCTTATTCTTTCCCTGACTTCTACAATATGGGGAGAGCTTGAAAGAGATATTAACTTATGGATGAAACATCATTACAATTACAAACAATACTAACATCAATAACAATAATAATAGCAACATGGATATCAATGATATATCATGATACACAGCAAGCAAGCAGAGAGACAAACCTATAAAATCCTGTCTTGTATCCATGATATCTCAAGATACTCTCTGAAAAGGCACATGTTGATCCTTTTCCTTTAGTCCCACTTACGTGGATGATCTTCAACTTATCCAAATCATCAATCTGAAATTTTAAAAAAAACTTTATTGTTTATAAAAATCTTTTTCCAAGTCTTTTCTTAAAAAGCAAGCATATTTTTAAACATCAGAAAAAAAAATTAATAACATTTAATGATTTAATGAAATCATTTTCACTCGAAAATAACAAAAAGTTAAACTTAAGCTCCTTTTTTCTATTTACATATGTCAAATCAATTTTATCGTGTGCACATAAGACAAGATTTGTATTTTCTAAATGAATGAATGAATGATTGAATGAATGAAAGAATGACATTAATCTTAGCTCTTCTGCACATCTCATCCATGACGATCAAAGATTTGTAGTAAATTTTTTTCTGCTTGCTATCCTCAATGACAGATGCATTGGACTGAAGAGTGTTCAATGTTTTTATTGTTTCCTGTGGGATTTTTAAAAATTTTACTGTTTAAAAAAGTTAATTCTTATTAATTTTGACATAAATATCATCTAAAACTGACATTTAACTAAATTCTATACTAGCAAATACACTGATAAAGATCATTTTAGATTTAATTTGATTATAATATTTATAATTGATTATTAAAATAAATCAAAATTTAAATGAAATAGAGAAAATTTTGCTAAAACTTAGTATAGACCTCATAATTTTTGTTAACATCACTGCTGCCATTGATTAAATTCAAATTCTTCACCATTTTTTCCTCTTGATTTGTCACCATGATTGACATTTCTCTTGCAGAACTCAGGCAAGAAGTGATATGAGAAAACTTGAGAGACTGCAGAGGATTGCTGCAAACCTTATAAACCTTCTTCATTCACATGTGTTTTGCCACAAATGCTCTTCTATCTATGCAAAGTATTATATAAATACAAATGCTATTGAATGTTAGCAATATATTTGTGTGTGTGACTGTATGTGTGTGCAACTCCATATATCAATTATATTTATATGCATTTAATATGGTGAATGAAGGCCTCAACACAATAGATCTGCAGACAACTGTACTGCTATTTTAGTACTGCATTCAAATTTTGAATGAATGAAGATTTTTTTTTAAATACTGTCTTCTGTCTACTACTCATTTATGGAATATAAATTAATTATAAATATGAAGTATATATAAATAAATAAATTATATATATTTATTTATTTATTATCATGTATTACTTTACTAAATAAATAAAATATAAAATAAATAGAAATGCAATACAGTACCGAGTACAGTTATAATACAAATATATTATTTAACTATTACTACATTTACACTTTACAATTACACACAATTACAATTACAAAACACAAAAATGAAAAACACAAACAAATACAAACAGTTTCCAATTCAATCAAATTGTTTACTTTACTAGATGACTTCTACTTTACAAATTAAAAAATTAACAAACTATTTCATATATAAATATAAACTAAAATTAAATAAATATAATATGATTTACGCGTATTAAAAAAGCATGGACATTGTTTACAGTTTACCGAACACGTGTTTGTAGTACTCTACTATATGTATACTTTGTATGACTGTATTTGTATGTGAATGTATGTATATATATATATATACTATTTATGTATATGTATGCATATGTATGTATTGTATGTAATTGCATTTATACAAACTTATTCATACACATATACACATGCATGCAGATATACAACTATGTTTACATACAAACATGCAAACACATACAGACCCAAACGTATAAACACTATCATTAGCATACAAAACACACACTCATCATACGAACATAGATAGTACGTTGGAATGGAACAAAGAATAAAGATCACCAGTAGTACTACGCAGTTGATTGACAGGTCTGTTTAACATTATCTTCTGTAATGAGATGATGTAACACCATCATAATTTTGCGGTAATTTACATTCATATTCCAGTAGAATAAATTTGTGTTCTACTTTTTCACATAACTGTTGCTCAGTCTTACGAAAGCCAGCAACTGTTACCCAGTGTAACTTTTTAAATGTTCATACTTTTATTTTATAAGGATAAATAAATTCAAACTTTAGTCATTCCTGTTACGTATAACATGTCCTCTGTCACGTATACGGTGTACAGCTGACGTTTTTGAGGTTGTGACGAAATATGACTTTATGTACCTCGCGTTGGCCGAGGAAAATTAAGCTGTTTTGTTCTGTGTCACTTATTCATTTCAACACATACATTATTGATTTCTCAACCAGGAAAGGTTTTGCGACATGACAATTGAAAAAATGACGTACGACGCTATGTAACTACCTCCACAAAATCAGCGCCGTTAAGGAAATATTAGGGTCACAGTAAAATCATCTATCTGCAACTGCAAGTCACCTGAGCTAAATGATACAAAAGAAGTCAAAATGATGACACCGTGCAAACTACACGAAATGGTCAATAAATGTGGAGTCCTATACAAATTTATCATTATCATTTATGGTTTGCCATTTTTTCCTCAATTCGGGAATGTGTTGAAAAGATTCAACATTATGCAGGCTATCAGCGTTCAATCGTGTAATGAAGTTCTACAAAATTCGAAAGCGATTATTTGTTCCGGCTAGTTGTGGGTTCACAAAAAAAAACCTGTTTTTCGACTGAATTTTTAATTAATAATTCTATAACTAACCAACAAAATGTTTAAATTCTTTATTTGAATAAATGCCGAATAATGAAAACCTAATAGCCGTTAAAAGCATCGAAAAACCATAATTTCGCTGACATATAACAAGGATTAAATAAATAAATAAATTAACAGATAAACAAAACAAATTAATTACTAAATCAGACAGATAGAAAAATTAAATATCTTTAAAATTTAAATAGATTGCTCATCAAAAAATCAAATGGACCACGTCATAAATCTGAATTTATCTTAACAATGAAAAAACAACACATTAAAAAGCATGGATTGAAAGGTTAAATAATCTCTTTAGCACCGAATTCCTTAATTTAATTAATTACTATAATTTTTAACCAATAGCAATCAACTATTGAACTATGTTGAAAACTCACACCATCAACAAATCGTTAAAACTTTTATATTGAATAAAGATTTAAAATAAATATAAAACCTAAAAAAATGGTTTAGATTCAACAATATTAAACAATATTATCAGTCAGTTATTTATTTTCAATTTAAAAAAATGATAAATAGAGATTACATCGTCACAAATGTCCTACTACAAGACGCCTGAATCATTTTTAAAACTATCAAAATTTTTAACAGACGAACATTCGCTAGAAGTGAAGCCACCATCATCGTCATCGTCGTCACCATCATCATTATTATCATTCTCATTATCACCATCACTTCCATTATTATAACTTTCACCATCATCATCGTCGTCGTTATTTTGATGTACTCCGCTTATTCCTTCAAGATCATCGAGCAGTTTGTTTTCGTAATAAAAATCGAACGTTTGGCAGAGGCTAATGCTAGTATCACTATCGTTATCGCTGTTATCATTATTACTTCTAATGTTCTTATTATTATTACTGTTGTTATTGTTATTATTATTATTATTATTAATTTTCAAACCGCTGCTTGTAGAATCAGCAGTAATAACTTTTCTGACGTTGTTTGTATTATTAGTAGTAGAAGTATCAGCAGTGGTGAAAGTAGTATTTTTATAACTATTATTATAATTATTATTATTATTAAAATAATAATTGTTATTATTATTGCTGTAGGATGCGTCGCTTATTTTTTTGTAGACACCAGAGCAGCCTTCGAGGCAAGCATCTTTGCACTTGGCCTCCTTGTAGCTACTAAGGTTCAATTTCTCTTTCAGTGTTTTTTTAGATTTAGGAATTTTAAGAGTAAACAGGTAATTAGTGTTGTCGCCATTGTTAGGGATGTGCGATTGAGAGATTCTGTCCCCAAGGCCTTCGTCGCAATTTATGAATGATTTTCTTTTGCTGGTCGTTCGGGAGAATGGCGATGGTGAAGAGGATAAGGAAGATTGCGATAAAAATGATAACGGTGATGACGGTGGCGATGCTGACAATCGCGACGACGATGACGATGGTGGCGTTAGAAGTGTCAAACGCGACGATATTGACGGCGATGATGATTGCGACGAGTGCTGACGCAATTGAATATTTGATGGTGTAGAACGGCTTGTGCAATTATTGCTGTCGTTGGAGCTAATAGAAGTTGTCGTTGCTGCGTTATTGCTGTTGGTTGGTGTAGTAGCGGTTGATGTGGTTGATGGTGACGGTAATGGTGGCAACGACAATGGCTCTTCAACAAGCTTCCGATATACGGGCAAAAATGCCGTCGTAGACGATGAGTAAGATTTCTTTAACTGTTTGAACCTTGAAGTTTTGGTCGTTGGTGTGGTAGGCGGTAGACAGGATGAAGGAAGAGAATGATGGTGGTGGTGGTGAGAAGGAAGAGGAGGATGTGAGGAGGGACTGGGAAGCGAAGGAACATCAACTGAAATGTGATTTGGCAAAAATTTAACAAATGTCTAGATCGTTAAATAAACAAACATATACCGCCTTCGATTAACATCTTATATCAATCAAACCAGACAATTATGGTAAGTCCGTTAATAAAATGATCACAAACTAAGCAATTAAACAACAATCAATCAAGCAACCAACCAATCAATCAACTAACCAATCAATCAATCAACCAATCAATCCAATGTTCAATCAATCAACCAACCTTGGATAATTTTATTAATATGAGACGCCAGCGACCCACTTAAATTATTCACGTCACTCCGAATAACTTTCTTCAGCTGGTGACAGCAATGAAATTTATTCTTCTCACTCCTGGCCTTATAATAAAAATAATAATTCTAAATTATTTTATATAATTACCTCTAAAAATGAGTCTCATAATTTTAAAAAATATATTGTTATTTAATAATTATAAGTGTCTATACATTCATGCATGTATGTATAGCTGTACCATCAAACAACATTTGTGACCCAAATTTCTAAGAATCATAATTACATTTAGATTAACAAATAATTAATAGCCGAATTGAAATTAATTATAATTAATGACAAAAATAGTTTAACATTTAAAAAGACTGTTCATTTGTTCGTTCGTTCGTTCATTTTTACAAACATTAGTCAGTTTGTTTGTTTATTCATTCTTATATTCCATTAAACAATGTCATTTTTCATTCGTTCGATCTTCATTCATTTACTCAATCACTCATTCGTTCGTTCGTTTGTTCATCCATCCATCCATCATATTAACCTCCAGTTTGAGATACTGAGTAGGGTCATGGATCGATATGAGGATGAATGAGAGAAGGTTGTTCGGAACTTTTTCAATCAACATAACATCGGATGTCTGAGTGAATGATTGAATGAATGAGTGAGTGAATGAAATAATTAATTAATGAATGAGTGAATGAATGAATGAATGAATGAATGAATGAATGAATGAACGAACGAACGAACGAACGAACGAATGAATGAACGAATAAATGAATTAGAAACGAATGCACGAATAAATTAATTCAATCTCTGATAATTAATTATTTGAAAACATATTAAAACAAAAACATGACGCCACAAATATCTAGAAAAATATTTAAGAAACTACTCATACAAATTGCTGTTACAAAAAAATAAATAATTAAAAACGGGCCGACAAAAAAATAACAGATTACAATTTTTCAATTCAGGAAAACACATACAAACACATATATATACACGTACGTACACACAGATACAAACATATACAAACTCTCTTAAACATACAAAAGTATACAAACTCGTACAAACTCATAAAAAACGAGCAAATACAAATACTCTTGAACAAACAAACAGATGACAAACATACAAACATATACCAACACATACGAACATACATATAAACATATACCAACAAACAAAAATATACAAACAAATGTACACACATATAGCACTTTACACGATCACAAACTCGCATTGAATGAAACAATACCGATATTGTGTTAAAAATGTTGTAAATAATAATAATAATAAATAATAATAATAATATTAGAATAACAATCCAGTTGAAAATGATAAAAATAACGATAAGAATAACTTTGAAAACTTAGTCATTGATTTCGATTAATAGACCACGCAGGTGTATTTTTATCTCTCTCTCTCTCTCTCTCTCTCTCTCTCTCTCTCTCTCTCTCTCTCTCTCTTTCTCATCCTTTCATTCATTCAATCATCAATGCATGCGTCCATCAATCCATCCATCCTTACTTTAAAAAAAATCTTGACCAGGTACTTATCAGTATTCTTCTTTCTAGCCAATAAGATGAACCTAGTAAAGAGGAAAAGGAAGAGTGGCGTCTTCTCATTGGTCACTTTGTTTCGGGCAAAGAATTTTTCCTGGTGATGTTGTGTGTGAGTGTGTGTGGTGTGTGTGTTGTTGGTGTGTGTGTGTGTAAATGTAGGAGAGTACGTACGTGTGTGTGTGTTTCTGTGAGTGTGTGTGTGTTTATGTGTGTGTTTATTTGTGTGTGTGTGTGTGTGTGTGTGTGTGTGTGTGTGTGTGTGTGTGTGTGTGTGTGTGTGTGTGTGTGTGTGTGTGTGTGTGTGTATGTACGTCTATATTTTTGCGTGCATATGTACAGTACTTGTACGTATAGGTATATGTGTGAATGTTGGCCATTGAAAAATAAAAAATATCATCATTAGTTGAGCGAACTTTTCACTAACAATCCAAAATAAACATCATCACAGTCATTATCATCATCGTCATAATCATCATTCGCATCGTCATTCACATCATTATCGCCAGAAAATGAAATATACCTTCAGCATAAGTTCACCCACATCTGGAGACACCGTGTTATCTTTATCATTCCTCTTACCATCACCATCATTACCATTGCTGTTATTGTTATTATTATTATTATTATTGTTGTTGTTGTTTTTATTGTTGTTATTATTTTTATAGTTTAAAGTTCGTTGATTGTTGGATTGGTTGATATGATTCAGGACGGTGTTCATGGCTTGGATGGCTTGCTCTATGCACCTAGCAAGGTCATGGTTGTGGCTACAACAGCTCTTCATGTTCTGTTGTTGTTGTGTTGTTGTTGTTGTTGTTGTTGTGATAATGATGATGACGTGTTGACAATTATTAATATTGCGGTGATAGTGACTGTGATGATAGTGCTTATGATGATAGTGACTATGATGATAGTGACTATGATGATAGTGACTATGATGATAGTGACTATGATGATAGTAATTAAGATGATAGTGATAGCAACTAAGACGATCAAAAATAATGAATGGCGATTGAAACGGCATTGTTTAACAGCAAAGATGATGAAAACGATTATGATGAAGATGATGACGATGACTATGGCGAGAAGGATGATAATGATGATAATGATGGAATGACGATGATGATGATTACAACAACGATAATGATGATAATGATAATGAGAAATGCATATTTTTTGAACCCCGCCTCACAAATAGTCCAACGGTTGGTTGGAATGCAGTTGTTAAAAGACGTTATTTTCACTAGTTGGAGTCGCACCAAATTTTATTATTATTATTATTATTATTATTATTATTATTATTATTATTATTATTATTATTATTATTATTATTATTGTCCTTATCATCATTACCATTTTTATCTTTATTATTATTTCTGTTGTTACTACTATTATAGTTAGTGACAGTGTTGTAAATAAGTAATTTTATTAGTATAAGTAGAAGCAGTAGTAGTGGCAGCTGTAGTAGTAGCTGCAGAAGCAATAATAGATATGTAGCAGTAGTAGTAGTGGTAGTAGTAGCAGTAGCAAAATGTTTTCTGAATGTCATTGAATTCTACGTAAACTGCACACGATTTTACATATTAAAATACATCATATATGGATATATACATATATATATATATATATATATATCTTGTGTAAGATATCATATATCAAACATGAACGATTTCACATCTTATTAAAATTATCATATATCATATATGGATATATATATATATATATATATCTTTTGTTAGATATTATATCATATATACACACATATACACGTTCAAACGCGCGCGCTCACTCACGCATCTAAATATCTTTATTAAGATACTTGAGAATATTATAAGAATGGGGAAAAAGATAAAAATAATAATAATAATAATAAGAAGAAGAAAAATATGATAATATTTATTCTAGTTCTAAGATAATAATAGTTCATCAAAAGCAGATCAAAACAACATCATCTTCATCGTCGTCGTCATCATCATCCAAATTGTTGCTGTCAATATCGAAAACATCATCGTCGTCGTCATCGTCGTCTTCATCATCGTCGTCATCACCATTATGGTTAGCGTCATAATTATTTATTATCGTCCTTTGTTAAATTTTCAAACATTATCGTCGGCAATATCGTTGTCATCATCATCAGCAGCATCGTATATGTGACTACAAGTATGGCTAACTAACATAATAATTATCATCGCTATCACATCACCATAATCACAGTCAAACACTCACCATCATCATCATCAAAATTAACACCAACTTAATCTTCATCATCGTCATCATCATCATCATTAACATCACTTTCATCTTCATCATCGTTATCAAAAACGCCGTCATAATGATATGCAATTATTTAAATGCTGTCTCAAGTAACATGACCAAGATTATGCGGGCGAAGATGATGATGAGGATGATGGTGATTGTGGTGCTGTTGGTAATGATGATATTAGTTGATAGTGATGACGATGATGAAACTTCAAACATTAATCATGAAAGACATTATACATGCTGACAGCAGTGATTACCTTTGTCAATTTCATAGACTTAATAAAACATTTACCGTTTAATTGGTCGAACAATCAGTCAACTATTTCACCAGTCAAACAACCAATCAGCTAACCAGCCGATCGACCAACCAATCATCCAACAAACCAACCAATTAACCAACCCGCCAACTGACCAATCGACTAATATAAACTGCAGCAAAAACAGTAAAAACTTGTAGGTTAAACCCTTAAATCTCTTTGTTTAAAACTCCAAACAGCCAACCAGCCAACCTACCAATCAACTAGCTAACCAACCAATCAATCAAACAACCAGTCAACTGGCAATCAACCAACCGACCAGCCGAACGACGAGCCAACCAGCCAACCTGAAGAAAGAGATGATACTTGGATATCCTCTGGACAGGCTTCAGTAGGTAGGACACCAGAGGCAGACGATGGTTCAATTTCTTCTGCATGTCGTGAACGTGGGAGGCTGTCGTGGCAGACTTCATGCATCTCTTTATCAACTCCAAGGATCTGATGATGAGGATGATGAAGATGATGAGGATGGTGAGGATGATGAAGATGAAGATAACGACGATGGCGATCAAAATGATGAGAATGAGAGCAATGAAGGTGATGAAGTTACGACAAATTTAAAATCACAAAAAGAAATGATACGCAAAATAATGACGACGATGTTGACGATGATGATGACGGTAGGAATGATGACACTGATTGCAAGGACGAAAGTTATGATGACACTGATGACTAAGAAGATGATGATGATGAAAATGATAATGACGAAGACGATGATAACGAAGAAATCGATGTACACGAAGATGATGATGATAATTACTATACATTATTAATTATCACGTGAAAAAAACAATTAACATCAATTACAATAATAATTAACTACTACTATCTTAATAATTATAAAATATTTATACAACTACCAAAATGCACCTAGCACTTCCAATGAAGAATTTCATAAATTTCTATAACCATACCAGCCATTACTTTAAATTACTCTAATTTAAAAACTAGTCAAGGTAATGCATTATAAATACTAACAAACACACACACACACAGACACAGACGTAAACTCGCGCACACACATTTATAAATACATCCGGTACATAAACATACCTGTATATACTACGTGAATACATATATACATGTATACATACATAGACATAAAATGATACTATACAAAGATATATATATATACAGTACATACACATTAATAAACCGTGATACAATACAAGGATACTTCATCAAGATACGTAGAAATCTATGTTAATAGCTGAAATGTCAAACAAATTACTGATTAAGATTCCCTTGAAGTATTATTACTAGTTAGAAGTAATCAACTCTAATGTTATGCCAACCCTTTACTATAACTACTTTCAATGTTTATAAACGTTTGCAACATTCATTTATATGAACGAACAAACGAACGAACGAACGAACAAACGAACGAACGAACGAACAAACGAATGAATGATCGATTGATTGATTGAGTATGAATGAACGGATGAATAGATGAATGAACAAACAAACCATTTAACAAACATGCCAATAATAATAAAATTTACAGATAAGTTGATGAACAAACTAAATTGTATTATTATTAACTACTTCCCGTGTTTTCATTATCTCAATCAACCCAATAAAAAATACTTTCTTATCATCATTTCATCGCAACCGTCATAACCACTCATCATCACCATCATCATCGTCATCGTCGTCGTCATCTTTATCTCTATCACCATCATTCTAAGTTAGTCTAACAATCCTTGAAAGAAAAGCATAAATAAGCCACGGAGGATTAGGCGTGTCTTATATCATCATCTTCTTCTTCATCTTTCTCTTCATCACAATTTCGTCACCATCATTATTATTTTGTTCGCCGTCGTCGTCTTCATCATCATCATCTTCCTCGTCATCATCAACATCTTCATCGTCATCATCATCATCGTCATTATCATCATCACCATCTTCATCATCATCATCACTAACGTTGGGTAATCAGAACAGTAAGTGGCGTATAAATAGAAGCCCTTGTTATTCTCTACAAAGGTCAAGGAGATTTTTTCGGGGTCATGTTCACATACGCTTAATTGGTTCAGGAGTGAGCTGTATATAAATAGAATTTATCATGGTTTAATTTATTATAATGTCATTAATAATAATAATAATAACAAAAACAAACTTATTGGTTCCTTCTCTCTCACTCTCTTTTTAAATTGATTGTTATTATTCTTATTATCCTTCTCATCATTGTTATTGTTATAATTTATTAATACATATGAGCAGTTATCAAAGAATGTTAAGTACAATCCGCCTCCAAAAGTTTCTGCTAATAAGAATGACAAGATGATGATAAAAAAAAATGTGTACATGTGACATTGTGTGTGTGGTGTGTGTATGTTTGTTTATGTGTGTGTGTGTAAATATGTGTTATAAGACAAAGACCTTTGTAATTTTACTCGTATACATATGTCTGCAAAATTTAATAAATAAATAAATAACTAGATCTATGAGTGTTTAGGTTCTATATGATACCTCTATTTTGTTTCTATCTTGTATTAAATATGTTTGTTCTATTTTGTTTAGTAAGCAAACAAACCAAACGAGTGAATGATTTATGTGCATGTTATGAACGTCCTAAGATACTACAGACACACGTGATAAAAATAAATTAACAATGAACAAACAGACAAACAGACAAAAAGACAAACATGCAGACAGTCATCAGTCAATCAGACCAACACCCAGACAAACAAAGAAATAAACACAGACAAAATCACACAACATATAGATAGATAAATAGACAGATAGACAGACAGACAAAAAGATAATCAAACATTCAAGTGAACATAGACAAAATCAGAAAAACAGACCATACGGACAGACAGACAGACAGACATTTAGATAAACATTGACATAATCAGACATACGATGAAACAAAGAAACAAAAAAACAGACAGATAGATGTAAACATCTTTTAAACAAACATCAAATCTTAGCAATCTTTTCTCTTGATATAAGAGATGATTGCGATGATAATATAAACGATACAGATAATGATATGATATAAATGATGATATGATAATTATATAACATAATTATATGATACAAAAAATGATGATGGTTTTTATGAGGGTTTTATCATAATAATTTGAATGTCAATGATATTAACCTAATTTTACAATGTTATCAATGAAATGAATGCTAATGACGTAATGATAATATTGACAGTGACGGTGATTATGGAGTGGTGACGTCAACCTTATCTAAAAATGATGAGTGATGTTGAGTGGATGACCTATTAAATAATGGCAACGGATGAAGATTTAGCTTCACTGGTTTGACAAACAAGTTACCTCAAGTGTTTCAAATAACTCACTAATAATGGTAACAAAGAGAGAGAAATATATGGGTAGACAGAAAGACAGACAAACAAACAGACATACAGACAGATAGAAACGCACACAGACAAAGATAGATATTAATAACAATTTGAGAATAAAAACCTGTTAAACTTGAGTAGTTCTTCAATGTTGCTAAATATGACATCACAATTTTTATTCATCTGACCAAATTTCTTGCAGCTGCCTATTGGCTGCTTATACTCCTGGGAGGATTATTAATAACATTTTTTTAGAGAAAAGGAGAGGAGAGAGAGAGAGAGAGAGAGAGAGAGAGAAAGAAAGAGAAAGAAAATTATTGTTTTATTTTAATTTTTAAATAAATAATCTACATTGACTGTCTGAATATGATTTATAAAAATATTTAGATGTGGTTGACAAATGTATTATACGTATATAGATTATGACCATAAACTTGTAGCTATTAGTTAAAAATTAAACAAAACTATTATTTCCACAGTGATAGTAGCTAGAATTAAGTTGCAATCCACATCAATAGATCACCAATCAACCAATTATCCAACCAACCAATCAACCAGCCAACCAATTGATTGATTAATCATCCAAACAACCGTAATTATGTTCTGCAGATCCTCGACATAATTCTTCTCAGTTTCCAGCAACTCTTCAATAATCTTCAGTAAATAATTGGTTTTCTCAGAAGAACTTTTTGATTCAATCATGTCAGCAATAGACCCAGCTTTCTGAATGTTTCTATGGACAGACTCGAAAGAAAATTTAAATTCAAAACTATCTAGAATATTCAAATTGCTTAGAAATTTGTTAAAAACAACACTCTTATCAAACGATAATGATGAGGTTGATAAGGATGAAGATGATGTTTCTAAATTTATCGACCCTTCGCTGGAGTATTTTTTCATTTTTTGCAGATTTCCAGCACCAAAATCCCCATTGTACATGCTATTCCTGATAAAACTGTTGTTACTATTGCAAAAAACTGCTTTTGGGTGAGGTGAGCCAGACGGGTTTGATGGCCTTTCTGGTAGAAATTTTTTTCTCAACTGTTGCGCTTGATGTTTTTTGGGAGACAGCAGATTAGATGTTGCAAAATTTGGCGGAGATGTTGTTGAGTTGGATTTGTGTTGGTGGTCGTTGTTGCTACTGCTGTCATAGCTGTTGTTGTTGTCAATGTTGTTGTTGTTGTTGGTGGTGGTGGTGTTGAGAATTGATCCAGAAGAGGAACTTGAAGTTAGGCTGAGTGGTCTCTTGTTCATTTTGTTGTTAGTTAGGTCTAGTTTCTAGTATATTTTTCTACAGGCTTTAGCTATTTCTTCATCTCTGTAATAAAAATTAATTTAATTTACCAAATGTAAGCTTTAGTTAGCTCAACATTTTCAAATCAAAACTGAAGATCAAAAATATCTGTTCTCTTCTTATATTCATTGTCTGTTATATTAATTACTTTTTTATTCTATTGTTATTCTTAATCCCTAACGAAAATTGAAGATTGACCATTGAATGAAAAACCTGAAAACGGTAAACAAAAAAGAAAAATGCTCAGCAATAATTAAATTAATATTAAATTAAAATAATTAAATTAATATTAATATTAAACAAATTTAAATGGGAAATAACAACAGTGACTTAATGTAACACGTCGGCAATAATATATTTTTAAATTTAAAATTGAATTGAACTAAATTTTAAAAACTGCAAAAATAACATGAATGATTTATCAAGCATGAATAATTAAGATTAACAAATAAATGAATTAGTATTGTGCCTGTATGCAAAAACTTTGTTTATTATTATCTTTTTCATTTTTAAAAATGGGTTTTAAAAAGTAATGTAACAGTTTTTACTTAATTTTCTTTGAATAACATTAATTTTATGTGCGGTTAAGAAATGCTAAATCTATCTAATTAATCCTTTTACATTCGAAACACCCTCTTTGCTCGACAAGCACTTTAAGCTCTAGAAAAGATATATGTTTTAAATTTAAAACAAGACAAATTCCAAAGCAAAGATAAAATACAAACACAAACATACAATACAAACATAAAATAAAAACATACATACAAACATTCAATACAAATATTAATATGTAGCACACAGTTATAGTTTTTCTAAGTACATGAGTACAACACACGAAACTTTTTCTCCAGCAAACACACACAATACAAAAACTACACAACTACATTGTATAAAACAGACGCAAAATACAAATAAACTTATCACAAACACACACACACACAAAAGTATTAACAAAAAAAACAGACATACAAACCTATACAAACAAATGTTAAGCCAAACAGCTCATCATAAGCAAAACCTATGTTTAACAACCGCGTTAGTTTGACTTTAAACTTTTTTAAATTATATAATTTGTATACGTCCATATAATATATATATATATGTGTGTGTGTGTGTGTGTGTGTGTGTGTGTGTGTGTGTGTGTGTGTGTGTGTGTGTGTGTGTATAACATTGATATAACAGTGTACTTGAGTTAATTCAGTAGGTATTGTATACAGTTACTATATATAAACACCCACATAATTTATATACTTGCTTATAGATGTGTTGTAGTAGATAGTACATGAGTTTGTTATTATAGAAAGCTTTTAAAATAAATGTGCATTTAATATAATATATGAAGAATATAACATAGACAGTTAAATTATTGTATGTGCATGAACGTACTGTATAACATTGCGAATTTTAACACGGTGAATTTGCATAGTTTAAGTAAACATAGTCGATAGATGATCAGTTGTACATTGACGTATATGTGCGTATTATGTTGTATATGTACACATGTTCGTCGTGTGTACTGTACGTGTTGTTGTACGAACAGATGTCTATCTGTCTATGATTGTTTTATGTTAATGTTTGCTGTATCATGTTCGTACACTTGTTTGTTTTATGTACATGTTTGCTTTATGCACTTGTTTGTTGCATATTGCATGTCTTTACATATTATACGGCTTGTGTGTAACTCTTTTCTCATGTGCGTTCTTAACACGAGGTTCTCAAACTTTTGACAAAAATGTTTTCACACCCGAGCGTTTTTTTCATTAACTAAAGGTGGATGTTCATCTCGTTAAGAACGTCATACCTCAATTTTAATATAAACGGTTTAATAAACAGCAACAATAACTTAATTAACAACATTGACGATGGCAGTAATGAGCTTATTTCCCCTACAATCACTTATGTATATCGGGAAAAACCAATGCTCCTAATCCTACTAAGTCAATCCCCCATCTACATTTACTCAGTGTTATAAGAAGTATGTATATTTGTATAGTGATAAACATGCAATATGTTGTTCTTACACTGCTACATGATTGTTATATTAGTGTTTTGTAGTGTCATATTGTAGTGTTATACCTACCTGTTCTGGACTCCAACCAAACCAGATGTTTGTGGACTCGTTGAGTTCGAAATTAAAAAGGACTCGCCAACACTGCACAGTGCACACGTATAGCAAAACAACATATCCACGTATAATGAATACATTTACTTAACTTAATAGTACGCCATACTGGTTGAGGTTACTTCTTTTAGTTTTACTTTTTTGGCTGATCTTCAATCCATATGTTGAGAAAAGCAAACAAGATATATATATATATATATATATATATATATATATATAGTTCTCAAAGCGGCCCCTCTAAAGTCAAACAGTTTTCAATGCGGCCCTTACAGCTTAAAGTTTGCCCACCCTTGAGCTAGATAGATAGAAGGATATATATATTTACAATATTCTTATATATATATTATGGTCTACCAATATATATATATATTATGGTCTCCTACCAATATATATATATATATATATATATATATATATATATATATTGAGGTCACGCTAAATTTAAACTGTACTTAAAAAACATCTGTTTAAATGAACAGATTCCATCCGTAGATTTATCTAAAAGTCTATGGCAAGCCATCGTGATTTATTTGAAGATCGGAAATTTTATATTTGTGGAGAGCGTGAAAGTTTGAAAGTAATTAATGGTTTAGGTTAAATTAATAGGAACACGTTGAATTTATATTGTATCGTTACTAACATGTTTGCTATCGCTCTTGTTATTTGATTATTATTGTTATTATTGTTGTTGTCAGCTTTTAAAATCATGAAAATTATGAGAATACTGATTTGAAATAAAAAGAGAGATCAGGTGTATTGAATTGGTTCCAAATTTAGAAAAATAATAAAAATGGATTAAATAACGATTTTAAATAATTTAATTCATAATTTACCCAAAACTGGTTATGATAATATTATTAATAAATTTTTCGATGAATTATTATTAAATTAATAATTAATATTATTAATTGTTCCCCATGGTAAATTATTTTTTCAACCCGTGGTATAATTAAAGAAGATCCCGCCTGCCTAGCAGCTTGCCACAATTAGGGCAGTAGTGTTTGACGTCTCGGCAACTGTCTAGCAGCAGAGGAATTAGACAGCAACCGAATACGAAACTGGTTGATGATGGGGGAATGTCAAATTGCAAATTGATGACGGTGAAATGATGTTGTTGGCATGGTCATTATGCTGGTGGTGATGACGGTGTTAACTTATGAAAATGATGATGGTGGTGACAATACTAAAGATAATAATAGTTATGGTGGAGAATTATGATGACGATGATGATAATTGAACGTAACTTTTTAGTTAAATCAGCTGAATAAAAATTAATTAGATAAATTTCAAAAGAGCAGGCATACCTATAGAAAAATATGAAAAAATTCATTTGATCATTCTTAGCTAATAATCTCTGAATAATCAACAAAAAAATACATTTTAGAAAGAAATACAACAGTTTTGATAAAAAAAATCAAAACAAACAAAACAAAACATCCAACCCCAAAACGAACAGACTACCGCAGAGCAAGAAAGCACCAACACCGGGTGAATAATCAATCAAAGTTTGGACCTCATTGCCACAGTACTTGCAGGTCACTTGGCGGGCCACCCTCGTATAAACGGCATTGTTGGAGAGGGGAGGTTTCATTTGCTGACCGGATGTTTGGGCAGGTTGGGGATTTTTGGAAGGTCTCGAATTCGACGTAGACGAAGCAGACGCCATTTTGGATTCAGTTGAATCGGGTAATTTTGCTCGAATTATCAATTTAAAGTTATTCTAATCAGTACAGATTATTATATTATCATCATTCTGGATGATGATAATATAATAATCTGTACTGTGGTAAGAAAAACTTTTCAAAGAGTTGTTTTGTTTTGAAGAGTTTGAAGTTTTGAAGAAAATAGTTTTGAAGTTTTTGTCTAAAACTTTTGAGATGTTTAAAGAGAAGAGATTAGAAGAATGGTCCACAAATAGAGACGTGAATTTAACATAAAATTTTTTTGTATTAATCAGCCTTCAACTCAGAATGTTGCATTTCTTCTCTTAATGTTTTTGTTTACTTTAAATGTTATTTAGCTTCTGAAAGTCGACACGTTTCATAAACAATAAAAAAGAACAAATAATTAAATTAGAACACGGTGATGACTATTTACTGTGACGACCGAAATATTTAGGCAGAGGTAAAATTGTTTCATAAAAATCAGAGTCATGTCATCAGCATCTAATTAATTAATCGTTGTCACTATAGTGGAATAAAACCATTCAGATTATTAATTAATTAATAACTAATAATTAACTAAATAATTAGAAGATATTTAAGGCAATTAAAATCTACTGCTGCATTATCATCAGCCAATCAAAATTTACCCAAAAAAAATTCAATTTTCTACATGGCAGCGATACAACCATCAAACCGAATGAAAAAAATACATTTAAAAAATTCAACGACCAACATATACAGAGAATCAATCAACCAATCAATTGATTGACCAATCAATCAACCAAGGTTAAAAAAGCCAACCAATTAATCATCCTACCTAACCGACCATTCAATTAATTAATCAATTAAACAATCAATTAATTAACCAACCAATCAGTCACTCAAACGACATCCAAACAGATTAATGCGAGACTTAAAAGAGCAAATCGTCGATTAGACGCACACACACATATAGCAGGATATATATATATATATATATATATATATATAAAGCAGGAGGGTAAGAAACATAAATTATCTTTGATTCAGATCATATCAAAATCAAGATACATCCGAGCTCCATGTGCAATGCAACTCAAGATTTTAAAATAAAAAAACGAACCGACGTATAAAAACTTTATCATCAGACAATAATAGCACTTATCATAAAATATGACAAATATATGCAAAATATAACTGTGAGTTATAGTTTACAAAAAGAGATACACACACACACACACACACATACACACACACATATATATATCTCCAATGGATCGATTTACAGTCTGGAATATTTTCCGATCATAGCTTTGCACTGCGGGCAAGTATGGCTGGCGTCCTTCAGCCCGTTGATGCAAAATGGTATCAGACAGCACCCGAACACTAATCTGTGTGCATGTTATCAGTTTGTTTTGTATTTTTGAAATATTTTAAAGTTATTTCAAGAATAAAATTTTTCTCGTAAGTAATTTGTCGCAAGTAATTACCATTAAGTCTCTAATGTGTTTTTAAAAGCACTTTTTACGTTCCATCATCACATAGATGTGATCATTTTTTGTTTTCAGCTGCATTGTGAAAAATAAGCACAACTCTTCTGGCCGGAGATTCACAATAAAACAATAAAATCATGTGAGATGAAAATGTGTAAAGAGCCATTTAAATAGGACTAAAAAATATTGAATAATAACGTCAATGAAGCTATAATTTTCATAGCACCGTTCCAGTCCCGTTTAACCGACGAAGCATTTCATTTCAAAACCAGACTACAAATTAGTGAAAGACGGGGGTCAACTAACAAACTAACTAACCCAAAAAGGACAAGACCCAAGCATATTAACCAGACAAGAGCACCAGACTGATAATCAACATGCGTGACTATCTGGGCCCTGCAGTTCGGACAGACCGTACTGAATGGGTGCTCTGGTACTCTGCCGACGAACGGCTGTTGAACGATCACTGTGGCTGGTAATTATTATTAAAATGAAATATTATTAATAATAATTATATTAAAAAAATTATCACGATAAATACATCACATTTAATTGAAAAAGTATCAATGCGTAAGAAGAAATCTCAACGATGATGGTGGTGGCAAAAGTAGCAGTATTAAAATTCATTTCATAACAATGTTAACAACAATTCAGATATCTTACGTCAATAATCATCCTCACAATCACCATCACAAAATTATCACTGCAAAAGTTGAGACGCACTTTGAACGCCGCCTGGAGGATATCCTGGGGCTGTTGGTTGGGGATATCCCGGTGGAGGTGCAGGTTGGTAGCCCGGGGCAGCGGGAGGGTACGCCGGATTAACAGCAGGAGGGTGACCTGGATTAGTAGGTGGATATCCTGGATTTGTGGGAGGATACCCTGGATTTGTGGGAGGATATCCTGGATTAGTGGGTGGATATCCCGAAGAAGCTGAAGGGTACCCCGGGGAGTATTCTGGTGGGTTGCCGGTTTGGGGGTGATGTGCTTTCTCATCCATTTCGGTTGATCTATCAACGTTAGAGACCTTTTTTATTTTTTCTTTTATTACTTTCAGACAATATTCACCGGTGGGCTATCTGTATTTTTAAATAAAAAAAATCATTTAATAAAACGCTATTCATCATTTTATTGCTACACATTAACAGGCAATGTTATTTGGTAAGAAACAGGCTTTTACAAGCATATTAAAATACTTTTTCATACGATTAAAATCCAATAAATCAATTAAAATTTTGTAAAAAGTTTATTTTATTTTATTTTTCTAATTCATCAACAAAACTTCTCCCGATAAAACGTATTTCATAAATGTTTGCATGTATGTATGCATGTGTAAGTGTATCAATGCACGTATGTATGCATATTTATGTGTATGAATGTTTGTATGTATATGTATGTATGTATGTATGTATTGTATGTCTGCATGAATGTATGCATGTTTGTATATGGGAATTCTCTTTCAATGTTCCTCCCTCCGTTCAACTTTGTGCCAAAAAAGGAATTTTTATAACGTAAAATTTTAAAATTGTGAAATGAGATTAAAAACTGTATTTAAATTTTTAAAAATAAATGTACATATACATGTATGGAGAAAGAGAAAGAAAAAAAGAGAAAAAAAGAATTAGAGAGAGAGAGAGAGAGATAGAGAGATCAAATGTCCAAACCCTTTCAAGTCAAGTAGTAGTATTGAAGTGCTGGTTTTTTGGTTATTTTTTTGATTATCATTGATAATAAAATCGATGACGTATTGAATTTAATGTGCACACATACAAACAATAACACATGCCCGTGTGTATGTTTGTTTGTATGCGTGTGAATATGCATGCGATGTAGAATAAGAAGATTGCTATTAATTCTTAGAAAATTTATTTGATTTGACGGTCTGAATACAAATGAACTCATTAGTAAATGTGTGTATGTGTTATTGCATGTGTGTATGTATGTGTGTGTTTGTATAGTATATAGGTACGTATGTTTGTGTGTACGCATGTGCAGAGAGATACAAAAAACTAAGCACTTGCGACTATTGCAAAAATCAATCAACCAATCATTCAAGCAATTAATTACTCAATCAATGAATCAACCAACCAAGCAATCAATTAGAATGTTTAACATGAGACAAGAAATATTGATAAAAAGACGATCGTAAACCGGCGCGCGTAGTTAGGTTCAATTAATATATCTGATAAGTACTTAGGAAATAATTTAAATTGAGACTTGTGCATTACAGTTCCAACTACAAAAAATATTCGATATAATATAAGTAGCCAGTGCAAGAGAACAAGAAATGGAGATATATGAGAAAAGAAAGGAACACGAGGAACCCAGACGGGCAGCAGAGTTAAACGTTTTACTCAAAAGATAGAGTGTGGAAGACCATAGTAAAGCGAGTCACAATCAATCTTAGATAAAACTAAAGAAGTAACAAGGAGAAGGAGAGGATCATCAAGAGAAGGCAAAAGTTTTTTATTCTACGTAGATGAAAGTAAGAATTTTTGACAGAACAATGATTAATCTGAGTAGAGACAATTAATAATAACATTGATGACAATGACAGCATTAAAATACTAAACAAGTAACATGAAAACAACGCAATTACATCAATTTGATGGCAATTTAAATATCACACACACACAGCCACACACACATTTTCTCTCTCTCACACACAGACACACACAAACGTATATAAATACACACACACACACACACACACACACATACACGCATATATACATATGTTATATACATTTTTATTTATAAATTTTTCACCAAATTAACACAACATTAAATTGCTTCCGGTTTCGAAGTTACCAGAAAAAGCATACTTTGATGTTGTACCATGTATCAACTGTAATATTCACCAAAGTGCAGCCCATTAATTAAATTAATTAGAATACATATATAATTATATACAATACATATACAAAAGTTAGGTAGTAGTATTAGTATATAATCAATACTTCAACAATCACTACTACTAATACTACTACTGCTAGAACTACTACTACTACTACTACTACTACTACTGCTGCTGCTGCTGCAGTAGTAGTAGTGGACTACTACTGCAGTAGTAGTAGTGGACTACTATTACTACTAAAAATACTGGAAACGCTAATAATAATATAATTAATAATATAGTGGAGCTATTTTTTTATTTATAAATAACGATAAGATTTTTTTATTATCATCTGAAACAATCAAAACAAAAAATAACAAAAATAGCAAAAATAACCTACCTCTCTTTAAAGTTCTTTGTTTACGAATGCCATACCGCTTATACCTCAAGGTATCAAACTTATACTTCTGGTAAATTATTGATACATAAACATACATTCACTACATATATATATATATATATATATATATATATGTACATGCATACATACATTCATACATTCGAACATATATGCATACATTCATACATATATACATACATACAAACAGATATATATGTATATATATATATATATATGTGTGTGTGTGTGTATATATATTTAGATACAAAAGTACTCAAACCACGTATAAACAGGCATTTAAACGTAAAAACACATGCGAACATGTATGTCACGCATACACGTAAGTATTAACGATGTATGTGTGTGCGTGTATGTTTGTGCGTGTGTGTGTGTTTGTTTGTATGTATGTATGTACGTCTATATATGTATGCATGAATAAAATTGTTTATGTTTAAAATTATAAATATTATTATAAATATATGAATATTCATGTAAGATGACTATAAATGAATGATGATTTTATGCTGCTAAAGTTAGCCCAAAACACTTACAGGCTTCTATTCATTTCTGTTGCTAGTGCTACCATAATAATTGTTGTTGTTGTTGCTATAGCGAGAGAGAGAGGGAGAAGAAGAAAAGAGAGAGGAAAAAATGGAGAGAGAACGACTTAAGAGAGAAAGAGGGGGAAAGAGAAAGGTGAGAGAGAGAAAGGAGGGCTGGGATATGTGTGTGCTAACCGTCGATAGGTATTTTACACGTGTTGGTAGGTATCGATCGATTTTTGTAGCTATGACCTTATTATTTCTGTTATTAATAATAATTTATTTTTAGATCTTATTATCACTATTATTTCTATTATTAATTATAATCTTTTGGATTACTGTTGTTATTTTTATTTCTATAATTAATTCATTTACTTCGAGTACGATTGATAGTTTTAAATATGTGTTTGGCAAGTTTTTCCTTCAACTATTATTATCTTCTGTAAAAATTACGAGAGAAGAAGAAATTATTATTTCTATTTAATAAACTATTGATTGAAAATGAAATAAATGTATTGTTGTATAATGTAACAACCCCTACTATATGTCATAGCAATCACAACGACAAGCATTTAATGTGTATTCAACAAAAGAAATAAATGTAATTACGAATAGGTAAAATAATTATCATATTTTAAAATATAGCCAGTATTAATTAGTTAATTAATTAACTATTAATTAGTTAATTAATTAACTAATTTATTAATTAGTTAAAAACGAGTGCATCAGTTTTAAATTTGTTTTATATCTAACCTATGAGACGTGACAAATATTTTATTTTTAATTAACTAATTTATTAATTAGTTAATTAATTAACTAATTAATCCATTAGCCCAATGAGGTAATTGAAAACTAACTCATTCAACAGCATATTTTCTGATTGTTATTCATGTATTTATGCAATCATTACAATTTTAAATATTTGTCACGTCTCATAAGTTAGATATAAAACAAATTTAAAACTGATGCACTCGTTTTTAAACAGTTAACAACTTATCGGTTGATCAGTTATACAATTCAAAAACATCTTCAATCAATCAATCGATCGACTGACCAACCAGCCAGCCAACCAATGAAATCCACTTAGATTCTTTTATGCTGACCAACCACAATGTTGCATCTGGGACACGTGTGGACCACGTCCTTGGTGCTGTTGATGCAGAATGGGATCAAACAACATCCAAGAAAACATCTGCAATTAATTAATCAATTAATTAATCAATTAATTTATTTACTTATATATTATTTTGTCGATGAAATTATGAGTAATCCAACAACTAAAAAATTGAGTCAATGAGTGAATGAATAGAAGTTAATTGACAGATTCGACCAATAGACAGACAGAAAAACAGACAGACAGACAGAGACAAAGCAAATACATCTCAATCCAGGCACCTGCTGGCTGATCAGTCAGCCAGTTGGGAGTGGAAACATATAATCAGTCAGCCAGTTGGGAGTGTTACATGTTATATTAAGCACACCAATTATTCAACCAGCTATCTGCAAAACTCTCATTTGCGTGGTTATTTAATGGTTTTGATAAATTAAATAATTAAGTAGTTATGTAATTAATCAAACAATCAATCTGCAAACTTTTCAACCGTTCAACTAACAAATCAGTAAACATACAAAAAAATTGACCAATCAGCTTATTCGATCAATCATTCAATCAACCACTTGACTAACCAACCAACCAGCCAACCAGCCAGCCAACCAACCAACCAACCAACCAACCAACCAACCAGCCAACCTACCCAACGAGGGTCAAGACAACGCAAATGATCCAGGTGAGAGCTCCGGACTTGTACTCGGCTGCGGTCAGGATGGGAGCATTACAACTGGGGCAAGTAGTATTGTAAGGGTATTCAGGGGCTTGCAAAGCGCTACCCACAACTACGGTATGCGTATTTGCTGCTACGTAGGTGTTAGTAAGAGGGATTTGCTGGGCGATTGGAGGAGGATAGCCTGCTTGTGTCCCCTGTGCGTACCCTGGGGGGTTTGCGGGCATACCCTGAGGATTGGGTGGATATCCTGTTTTATCTGACATGTTTGTCTGATGACGACCGTAGTGTTCTTTTTCTTAAGACGGCAGCTTTCTACTTTTTTGCTAGAAATCAAAAAATATAACAATAATCAATAAATGATCTAATATGTATTAATATAAATATAGTTTATAAAGCTGAAGAACAGTTGGTTCTTGTATAAAGTTCGAAATGTAGCTCACAATGATAATTGTTATCACACTTCAACTATGAAAAATATCGCAAGCACTACGTTCCAAAAACTATGTCCAACGTCTCTAATGTCTGCCTTAATATAGAATAGAAATGTGTAAAAAATAAATTCGTACACTCAATCAATAGGAAACTTCCCTGAAAAACTTTGAAACGCCAAACACCAAACAAACAAACTAATATCTAATTAACTAGTCCGATTTGATGAATGAAAGAGTGAACGAACAAATGAATGACCGAAAGTTTCAACTGCCCCAACTCTAATGTAAATAATAATTTTTAATATCTTTTACTTTACTTTATAACCTCTTCAAAAAGTACAATCAACTCACCTTTATGTTTCTCGCGTATGCTTATCACGTATTACGAATCACTTAGATTTCTATTTCAATAATAAAATCATCATTAAGAAAGAATGGAACGTAGCATGTGACACACTTGAAGTATCAGATATATATATCTAACGGTACAACATGTGAGTAATCTGTATGATATGCTATAGATATATACGTATATATTATATTATGTGTCTTTATATATATGTTATTTATATATATGTTATATATATATATATATATAATATATATATATATATATAAGCCTAAACATTCACGTTAAAAATAATATTAAAATATGGCAAGCATGGAAAAAATATGTTATCTTTCTAAAGTAGGTATGTGTTTGTTTGTTTGTTAGTAAACAATGCATGTATACATGTTTGTTTGTATTTATTTATTTATGCATGCATATGCATGTATGCATGTATGTATGTATGTATGTATGTATGTATGTATGTATTATTATTATTTGTATTATTAAGAGAAAACTTAATATAGCGTTCGTTATAGCAGTTTTCACAAACGCTATCAAATTATAACTAATATTAATACCAAAATAGCAAGAATGTATGTATGTATGTATAAATGTATGTATGTATGTATGTATGTATGTATGTATAAATGTATGTATGTATGAATGTATGTATGTATGTATGTATGTATGTATGTATGTATGTATGTATGTATGTATGTACGTATGTATGTATGTATGTACGCATGCACATATGTATGTATGTATGTATGTTATTTACGTTTGTTTGTATAACAAACCTTAGGTGAGCTCCCTAATTGAAAGATCCTGTTTATACGTGCTCTAATCATAATATCGATTATTATTGTTTTTATTGTTATTATTATTGTTATTCATGTTTTTACTACTATTATCTTGTTATTATAAATTGTGAATGTTCACATTGTTTAACTTTTCTTTTTTTCTACTTCATCCACCCTTTTGTCAGTTTTGAAACTTAATTAAATGATATGAATTTATGTTTTGGGCTGTTACTGCTGACAATATTGCGTCATTTTATATTTTGTTTCTTTTTATTTCTCCAAAATATTTGTTAGATACATCACATTTCTTAAATTATTTTATTCTACCAAACTATGTTGATGCTTTTAAGTCTAGCGCTTGTCAGTCAAAAAAATTTATCAACTCTATCTAATTATTTATTTTATTTAGATTCACGGATATTAACATATTTTAATGATATAATCAGAGTTTATTTTGAATAAGATATAAAAAATTATTTAGATTTATTCAAATTCAATCGATATAACAAAGTTATCGCCAATAAATTTACCAATCAGTCAGTCAGTCAGTCAGCCATCCAGCCAGCCAGCCAGCCAGCCAGCCAGCCAGCCAGCCAGCCAGCCAGCCAGCCAGCCAGCCAGCCAGCCAGCCAGCCAGTCAGTCAGTCAGTCAGTCAGTCAGTCAGTCAGTCAATCAATCACCAAATGAATCTCTAAAAGCTCTTTTCAACTCTCGAACTACTCCTTTACATTTAGGGCAGCGATGCACAATATCTTTCGTTCCATCGAGGATAAATGGTAACAAACAGCATCCAAAAATGCCTCTGTGGTCAATTAAAAATTTAATTAAATCATTATTTAATTAACTTATTAACTAATTAATTAATATTTTGATTGTAACGCAAGCAAACGATTGAATTGATAAATGACATGAACAAATAACACGACTCAGATATCGTTCAGTAAAAACATTTGCCAAATTATAAAATAAAAGAAATAAAAAAAGAAAATCAAAATTGTGTGATCTCTTAAATGTTTAACAAATGCAAATATTAACGTAAACAATCATATCTACACGTTGTAGATATTATATTATTATTTTTATTATTATTACATAACAAAATAATAATAGTTATTGTAGTTATTATTATTATTACAAATGCTTTTACGCATATTTAACTTCTACGATCTCAAAAGCCCTCTAACCAAGAAATTTGAATCAGCGTCTATGAATATGTATCATACATACAGATAGAAACACGCGCGCGCGCACGCACACACACACACACACACACACACAAAGATAATACATACATTCACACACACACTACATACATACACACAGATACATACGTAGATACATAAAAACTTACACATACAGTCAAAACGAAACGTAGATACATACAAACATAAACATAGTCAAAACAAACATACATACACGTAAAGACACAAACAATTCAACAACATCCGGTTGCACCCGCACTCAAAATTGCTATAACCCACTGACGTCATTTCTGTTATGAATTAATTACTCTACGTCATTACTCACACTTTAATTAAGATTCATAAGAGTTTTCAGCCGACATCATCGTCACCACCATCTTCGTCGTCGTCCTCACCATCATCACTAATGCCATAACCATTATCACCACCATCATCACCAATGCCATAACCATTATCACCACCAACGTTCATTATCATAATAATAATAATAATAATAATAAATAGTGTTGTTTATATTAATTGTTAAAATATACGATCTTTTTTTTTAATTTTTTAATTTTTTTAATTTAAAATTTTTTTAACTGATGGCTTTGCGTATCAACGGTCCAATTTGGAATTATTTGACGTGCTGGAAATATACATATATGTCAATTTCGAATTTGCAATAATTTTTTGCGGCAATTTTTTTATATAAAACGAAATAAAAACATAATTTTATCAAAAATTACGAATATTCAGGAAGACAACAAATAAAGGACAACTAACTCACCCTACAGCGGCTATAACAAAACAAAGGACCCAGCAAAGAACTCCAACGTGATACTCTGGGACTGTGAAAATACTCTCATTGCAGTTTGGACAGGCGGTGTAGTGGGAGCGCTCCAGACGAATTCTCGTGATCATGCCCTCATATCGTTCTTTATAAAATTGATTTGTGATTTCCGTAAATGTCGGTGAATGTCGACCGGATTCTTGCGGGTTTTTAGGCGGTTCTTGAGAGTTTTGGGTTTGATCTTGAAGGTTTAGGACCTGCGCTTGGAAATTTGAGGGTAGTTCTTGGAGATTTTGGGGTTTTTCTTGGAGATTTTGGAGGTGATCAACAGTATTTTGTGGTTGCTCTTGAAAGTTGGATGGCTCTTCCTGAGAATTTTGTTGGTGCCCTTGAGAGTTTTGTGGTAAGTGCCTTTGTGAGTTTGATGGGTCTTCTTGATGATTTGCTGGGCCTACCAATTTATTGTCGTCTGTCATGTTCGAAATGCGGCGTCGATTGTGTTGCTAGATGTTTCTTTCCTTGTTGTTTGTCTCAGTTAACCTTCAACCAACTGGGTTTAGAATTATAAGATGAGACACAATTTTGTTAATAAAATAGTCAGGAAATGTAATCAACTTATAAATATTTGTAAGAGAGATTGAGATGTGAAGGAGAGTGTTTGACAAATTATATGAATGTACGTGTGTATATAATATATTACAAATGTATGTATAAATATAATATACATGTATATATAACGGTGTGTGTTTGTTTGTTTTTCCGTTGGTGTAACGTAAAATAATTTTTAACAGCTTTCTCAATTTTTATTAAAAATTTCAATTTCAGATCATTATTCATCAACTCAAATTAGTTTTTTTTAACAATTTTTATTAAATATCTATAACCAGGTTAAATTGTTTGAATAATTATCGTCTACAGAATGCTTTTTGAAATAGGAGTGATATTGTAATTTGATCGTTTTCAGATATATTCTCTGTTTCTGCGATTAACGTAAAAAATATAAAACACGAAAAAGAAATATTTAAAGTATTTGATTAAAAATTCATTTGATAAAATATCTTATTGGCTTTATTAGCATGTATGTAAGTGTATATGTATTTTAATTTATATTTAGCCAACAAGTATTTTCTCTTCAAAAATGAAATGTTAAAATGACAAGCATATCAAACTTTTTTAATCACTAAACCAGCAATTCTTGAAGTAATCAATCAATTGACTAATTAATGAAATTAACAATCAACAGTGAGAACTGTTTGTAGTAGAGCCATTCTAACAAATAGTATCATTGTAGTGTTCGTTGTTAAATTCTCTTGTGTTCTCCTACCACCATATTGCACTGTGGACATCTGTGAACGACATCTTTTGTGGCTTTCACGAAGAATGGGATCAGACAGCAGCCCAAGATACATCTGGGTCAGTTTAGTTCAAATTAAATTATGGTTGCATTTTGAAAATTATTTAAATGATAAGGACGTAATTGGGTTAAAAAATATAAATCAATCAGTGAATTAACAAATAAACAAACAAACAAACAAAATTATATAACAAACAAGTGAAATGAGAATAAATAACAAATCAAATAAAAATGAACAGCCAAACTATCACTTAACAACTAATTATTCAACCACCAGTGATAAACTAACCATCAACCGTTCAACTCACCCAAAGAAAGCAAGGACGAAACAGAGGACCCATGTAAGAGCTCCATTCTTATATTCTGCAGAGGTAAGAACGTTGGCGTTGCAGTTTGGACAAGTGGTATTATAAGGGTATTCCGATGCCTGCATACGTGTCCTCACAACAACTGGACCGCCGTGATGGTAATGGTGGTGGCCTCCACTTATGTGGGTTTCTGGCATTGGTTGATTTGCTGCTGGAACAACCTGTGGGTATCCGGGTGGGTTTGGTGGATATCCTTGAGGATTTGGGGGATATCCTTGAGGATTTGGGGGATATACTTGAGGATTGGGAGGGTATCCTCCTTTGTTGAAGTCGGCCATGTTTGGTTTTTGTTGTTTGTCTGATTAGTGATATAGATCATAGTGTTTGGAATTAAATATTTTTTGAAGCATGAAACTTTTTAATGCGGTTATAACGCGGTGTATTCATAGAGAAGATTATATAGCAATTCATAGAAAATGTTTTACATAAATAATGTTGTTGATAATACAAAATACATAATTAAAGAAAAAATTACTAAAAAATTATACTAGATACTATACAGTAAAAAATTAAACGGTAGATATCAAAAAAATGAAATTTTACCAAAAAATATCACCAGGCAGGCAAAAATATGCAAAACTTTCCAACGATGATTCAATGCACGATTCAAAACTTTGCTAAAGATCTCAAAATTATTAGTAGATGTTATTATTATTATTAAGGACTAACTCAAGGACCAGCCAGCCTTTCTATATTTTGGCTAGCTGCTCTGAACATTAAGAATATTTCACGTGGCTTGCCATACCTGAGTGATCATTGTCTGCGCAGTATATATATTTGTATTTATATAATAAATCATAGCAAATAAATGTATATATAATTGTGTGTGTATATATATATATATATATTATATATATATAAATTTGTATAGATGATGTTATATTTATATATATATATATAGAGAGAGATAGAACGTGAGAGAAGGAGAGTGAAAAAGAGAGAATGAAACGTTAAAATAAATTGTTATTTATTCAAAAATTAATTATTTAAAAAAATTTTTATTCAACGTCTATTATAAAACTGTTATAGATGGAGGCAACAAATCCTGCAAGGCAAATGACACGGTTTTGTTCCTACCATATATTCAAATGCAGCTTATACGTGACGATATAATTATTTATTTTGTATTGTTCCATGCGTGCACAGGCACACACTCATTCATTCACTCGTGCTGTCTTACGTTATTCAGGTTCGAAGTATAGGGTTCGGTAATTTAAAGGGTTACAAGTCGTTATTCAAGTTATTCATTCAAAAATACTTTAGTAACGTCTCATATCTATGATTACTTCTGCTACTTTTTGTTCGATCGATCGATTGATTGACTGATTAAGATCTATCCTTATAAGACAGAACTCAGAGGAAATGTTTGAATGTTGGCTTATTGTTCTTTTTTTATTTTGTAGGTATTTTTTCAAATATATGACAAACCAAATAAAAAATTTCATGATACAAAAGATATAACAAACTTTTGATTGTTATATCTTTTGATATCTCAAAAGATATACTAATCTTTTGTTGAAACAAGTAAGCAACAATTAAATAACAATAATTAACAATAGGTAAGATGAAAAACGGATGAAATATTTAGAGAAAGTTCATATAATGGTTATATTTCACGCGAGCAATTTTTGTATTATCTTATCTTAGTTAAACTCAATTATCCAATTAATTAATTAATTAATTAATTAATTGGATAACTGAATTTACGATATATAAATATAACGACTAATTAAAAGTTAAATTCTTCTATGTAGTCCAACAACTATTCCACAGTTTGGACATGTGTGTTCTATATCTTTTGTTTCTTTGTAAAAAATGGAATCAAGAAGCAACCGCAAAAACATCCGTCAGTTGAAAATAATAAATTTAATTATTTATTTAATAATTAATAATATAATAATTAGAGAATTCGATGATGTCTGACTATTTAATTCATCATTTGGAAACGACTTTATGTCAGATTTTGAGATAAGTGCATCTTTAGTTTGCCATAGATACAACAACAACAACACACGTTTAAACGGCATTTTCCACGAGATCGGGGGTTGCCGTTTGGCTACCTATGATGAAACCGAAATACCCCTCGACTCCATCCACATCTGTCACTCGCCTCAGTATCACGCAACCCCGCTTTCACCCTGTCCTTCTCCACCTGCTCTCTCCATCCCAATCGCGGACGACCCCTTCCTACCACTCCTTCAACCTCGAACTCCAACGCTCGCCTAATTCCGACCTTTTCATCCCTTCTCAACACATGTCCATACCACCGCAATCTCGATCTCCTTATCAATGTCACAATGTCCTCATTCAGTCCCATCATTGACATCAGCTCTGTACTACTCCTCCTATCCTTCACTTTAACCCCACACATCATCCTCACCATAGCTTTTTCAGCCCTCTGCAGTACACTTTCCTCCTCTCTCCTCAACACCCAAGTTTCACCACCATATATCATCGCTGCTCTCACACATGCTTTATATACCCTCCCTTTCATCTTCACTGACCATTTCTTTCCACACAATACCCCACCCAGTTCCCTAAATTTCATCCATCCCACACGAACTCTAGCCGTAACTGCGCTCAAGCATCCTCCATCCGCATTCAGCTTATCCCCTAAGTAAACAAAGCTTTCCACTCTTTCAATACCATCACTCAACCCCGTCCTTGCGTCCGTCCTATTAATCACACCATGAACACATTTCTTACATTTGAACGTGCCTTCCACCTTTTTCAGTGCCCCCCTCACACCACTACATCTCTTATGCACCCATTTCTGACATCCTATACACAATACCGAGTTAGCCTTCACTCTCCTATCACATACCCCACAGGGGTCTATTTTACTTATCACTCGTTCCCCACCTTCCCCACTCACCATTACCTTCGTCTTACCAATATTAACTTTTAACCCTTTCTTTTCAATAACACTTTTCCATCTGTCAAATTTTAACTGCAATTCTTTCATGCTATCAGCCATCAAGACTAAATCATCTGCATACAAAATCTCAAATAACAACCCCTCCATTATGTTTCCACACACAACATCTATCACAATTGCAAACAGAAACGGTGATAACACTGATTCTTGATGCACTCCTACCTTAACACTAAAAGCGTCCGACATCCCCCTTCCAACCCTCACCTTTGTCTTTGCCCCTTCATACAGCTGCATCACAGCTTTAACAAGTCTCTCATTCACTCCTTTCTTCCTCAACGCCCATTCAATGACCTTCCTCGGTACTCGATCAAAAGCCTTTTCTAGATCCACAAAACACATGTACAATCTTCGTTTCTTCTTTCTATAATTCTCCTGCAACATTCTCGCCATGAACAACGCATCCACCGTTTCCCTACCAGGCATAAACCCACACTGCATTTCATTAACTGTCACCATACTTCTCAACCTCCTCTCAAGCACCCTCTCCACTACCTTCATTCCGTGCTCTAGTAATTTCACACCCCTGTATGACCCACAATCTCTCACATCTCCTTTGCCCTTATACAACGGCACCAACACACTGTGTCGCCAATCCTCAGGTATACCTTCATCATCAAACATACTGTTAGCAATTCTCATCATAACTTCAATTCCTATCACCCCACTCGCTTTAATATGTTCAGCCGCCACTTCCGAAACCCCTGTCGCCTTACCTAGTTTCATTTCTCTAACTGCTTTCTCTACTTCCTCCATCGTCACCTTCTCTATAGGTCCGTGTGTGACCGCGGATTCCACATCTCTATCCCACTCATTCTCTTCATTCATCAACCTTTCCATATGAGCTTTCCACACCTGAGCTTTTTCCTCCTCATCTATGCACAACTTGCCAGATCCATCCCAAACACATCCATTCCCTATAACATCTTTCCTATCCCTCATTGACTGCTTTGCTACTTTGAACATTTTCCTCGAACTCACATCAGATTCCATTTCCTTCATTAACCTATCTGATGCTTTCGTCATTGCAGTTACCACTGCCTGTTTTGCAACCTTCTTAGCCTTCCTATACTCAGACTCCGCTTCCTCCGTCATGTCCCTTCTCCATACCCTAAACCTCTCCTTCTTGACTTCCAAAACCCTTCTTATATCTTCATCCCACCACCACGTCTCACCATGCCTACACTTTCCTTTCGTCCATCCACATACTTTATCTGCCGTAGCCAACACACAGTCCCTGTATCTCTCCCAAACATCTCCATCCTTACCACTCTCCCAATTTTCAGCCACCTTCACTTCAAATGCCTTTCTCACCTCTGCATCCTGCAACTTCCATGTCTTTCTCTTTGCCACAAACTTATCCTTCTTCCTCCTCCCCATTTCTTTTGATGTCACATCCATCACAACCATACTATGCTGCAACATACCAGGTATCGCCTTCACATTCTTCACATACTTCCTATGTTTGGCCCTTACCAATATATAGTCGATCATCGATCTATGTTCCCCTGACCTATAAGTAATCATAGTTTGCCATAGATATAGAAATAATTGCATTTGCAAAAGAATTAAATTAAAAAGACATCGCAAGTAATTTTCAATGAATAAATTATGTTAATTAAAGAGCCAACAGACCCAATCAGGAAGAGTGTGATGGACATTAATGACGTACACGCCCCTGTTTTGTAATGGATTATAGTGGTTTTGTCAATGTTACAGTTTGGACAAGTAGTGCTGTAAGGATCTACAGGAGATTGTTCACTCCTCTGACGTATTGCAATCTTTCTGGAGTTGGTCGTTATGTAGGTTGTACCTGGAACCGCTGCTGAAGATGAGGAATGGAGATGAATAACTTGTGGTGATGGGATTTGGGAATATGCTGGTGGATCAGTTGATGGAGAATGTTGGCTGTAATGTGGTGGGTCTGCTTGTTGTTGAATTTCTGTTTCTGGACTATTCTGTAAATAATTTTCTTTCGTAACTGGTGCGTTTCAAGTTTTGTCGTCGTCTGCCATTTCGTATTTGTTGCAAAAAATCTTTCAAATAGCTCAGAAAATAAGTTGCTGCATGGTAATGTAATGATATATATATATATGTGTACCCTATATATATATGACTGTTGACGAAAGA